CTATGGAGCTATTTTTAATACTTACATAAAAAACGACGTCGTCTGCATGTAAACCAATTTGTACAAGAGTAATAATGTTGTCTACAATTTCATTGATCAAAATTAAGAAAAGGGTTACCCTAAGTGTTGATCCTTCGAGAATCCGTTATCTCGGGTATATGAACTTAAAAACTGATTATTAAATATAACTCTAAAATATATTTCATAAACAAAAATTTTAATAAACGCTAGAAGGTTTCCATCTAGACACCATTGTTTAATATTGTTAGGACATCATGTTTCCAAACAGTGTCATAGGCTTTTCAATAAATAAAAAGAAGTTGTACGTCGGTTTTTCCTAAATCCGCTTTATTCTTTGAGTATTAAATTATTTGATTCCCTGAAGTGCTGCAGATGTTTGTTAGATATTTTTTTTATTGTCTTGCATAAGGTGGATGTTGAAGATATATGCCAATACGAATTTGGATCCGACCTTACTTTATTAGTGTTTAAAAGAGGATTTACAATTGCTGCTTGCCAAGATTTTGGAAATTGTTACATATAGAATGATTGTAATGAAGGCATAAGGCATTTCATCAGGTCCAGCCTTCATTTAATTCATTTATACCTCCAATGAAGTAATTTTAAAGTGAGAAACACACTTCACAATAAAAATAATATGACGTTTATTGACGTTGCCCTGCAAATGAAATAGTAAATAGATATTCTAACTTATCCACTAGCAAACTGGTTTTGAAGAGTTTTAAATAGGATGTTTTGTACATGAGTGGAAATGACCGTCCCAATTTTCACATGCTTTGCATCTAGTCTATATATAAGTCTGAATAAATCGGTCTAAAACAACTATAATACACTGATGGAAAAATTACTAAAGTACGCTCGCCAACTAAATCTAGTGTTTATAAACGAAAGGCTTATGCTAATGTGCCAATTAACAATCCGTTGAATGTACAGACAAACACAGCATAGTAAATATTTCTGTATTATTTAAATGCAGTGCAAAATTTTTACAAAAGGAACGTAAGTTACATCCAAATAAGGCAAAGTTGTTGAGAATACTTTTAAGTGGATAAGGATATGAGATACGGGACTATTCGTCTTCCACAATTAGTACTACAAAAATTAAAATAAATGTAAGCGCATATTTGGATTATTTTACAATTCTATACAGCCCATCAGTATGTTCTGGTTGAATATATTGACGATATTACCTTAAAATTAACGATGCCAATTACATTGCAGTACGATATTTTGGAAGGTTGTAGTACGATATTTTAGAAAGAAAAAGAAAATGAAAGACTCTACTAAATCCGAAGCTTCTGCGGCTTCTGACACTCCAAGATAGTTTCTCATGAAGATAGCTAGTTGCAAACTAAAATGTTACCCAAATTGTTGGCAACTTGATTGGTAATGGCAACTTGGTTACATACATGATCTTAAAACCAAATTCACGAAGCAGAATAAAGATTGCGCAAGTTTATGCTCCAACTGAAAAAGCAACTGATGATGAAATAAAAACTTTTTACGCAGAACTTAAAAAAGGTATAGACAACAACAAAGAATCTAAAATAATACTAATAGATTTTAACTCCAAAATTGGAAGAAAAATTGAAGACTCCGAAAACAAGATTGGAAATTTCGGATTCGGCACAAGAAACGCAAGAGGAGAAAAACTTATGGAATTCCTGGAAGAAGAAAACTTGTAAACTATGATTACCTTTTACAAAAAGAAACCTAACAGAAAGAAACTATCAAAAATGAAATAGACTACTTTCTCTCAAACAATAATTGGATACGTCACAGCAATAAACAACATAACAACTGGTAGTGACCATCGATAGTTACAGCGAAAATAAATATTAGCATTAAGGAAGAGAGAATAAAGGATCTTTAAAAAAACAACGCGGATAGATGCCTGTAAAGTAAGAACACATTAGAAGAAATTCCGAAAGGTCTTAGCGCTTAAGTTCGAATCAAACCCTTCACATAATCAAGATCAAATTGACGACATTAACAAAAATATAAATAAAAACCTTCTCGAAGCCGGACTACAGGTCGCAAAGAAAACAAGAACTACAGAAGACAAAATAAGCAACGAAACTAAACAACTAATGAAGGAAAGAAGACAACTACTAGAGGAAAACAAACGCCACACTCAAGCATACGTAAAACTTAATAAAACGATTAAAAAAGAACTAAAATATGATATAAAAAATGTAATGAAAAGTCATTGAAAACAAAAGAGGCCTAAAATGTCTAGATCTAGACCAATAGTGGGTGTACAAAAAATCATCAAAATTAAAAACACCAATATTAAGAAGAGAAAGACAAATATAAAATAACAAAGATAGTCAAAGACTTCTACAAAACAGTGTACAGCTCGTAAAGCCAGTCTAATTAATCAACAAAAAAAACGTCAAAGAAATAATAAACAACGTTGTATCAGACAAACTACGGAATATAGAGGGATTCGAAATAGAAAGAACTTTACAAGAACTAAAAAATACTAAAGCTCCAGGACAGGACGGTGTAAGTGCAAAGTTCTTAAAATCAAGCAAGACAGTAGCAATCTCTATACTAACAGAGCTATTTAATATATGTCTTCATAATAGCAAAATCCCTAAAGACGAGAACGAGAGTCCAGTAGTACACAAAAGGGGACAAATGTGACCTAAAGAATTATAGACCTATATAGGTGGCATAGTTACCCTACCAAATAAACAGTGTGGCTTGCCGTCCTAGCCTTTTATATAGATAGCAGATCATGTCCAAACTACATTCAAAATACATATATACAAGATAGCTCGGATTGAAACCAAAAGGGTTTCAAAAGTTTACTAATAAATCGAAAAATTATTTAAATTGCAGACAAATTTTTGATTACTATATAATAAAACAAATAAATAGAACATGAAAGATACCGTCCTCTTAGAAGCCATTAATGAATAACAATTTTTTGTTGATCTTCTAAAGGCGGTACCAGCTAAGTCTCCCGAAGTGTGTTGGATTCAAATTAAAAGGATACATCCTAGTGCATTTTCCATTTTTAGAAGTCGTGCCCTCGGGTGCATCCATGATGATTTTCCTAACAACTAAAACCACCTTTAGGTACGCACCTAAAGGTGGTTTTAGACCGTTATAACACGTGCTTGGCTTCCTCATCTTCTTTTTTTCTTTTTTAGCATTTATACTCATTCTCCTCATTCCATCATATCCATTCTATTATTCGTTCTGACTTCGCCCACACTATCTTATAACTCTGCCCTCTCGGTTATGAACCTTATGCAATCGAACATACAGTGTTCTGCCGTGTCGTTAACCCCGCAGTCAACGCAGCTGCCGTCTTCTTCCATCCCTATCGAATAACAACGGACAGTGTTGTGTAGATGAGGACTAGATAAGAACAAACTTCATATGAAATTAACCATATAATACAAAATGAACATGGAATTGTTACTACACCTCAAAATGCGAAATTTGATATACCTATTTGATAATTCTGTAATATCACTATCATCTTGGCCCGCTCTAAGATGTTTCTCCATTCCGAAGAAAAAACATTGATAGTGTAGTACTTAACTATATTAAGTACTACACTTAATATAGTTAAGTACTATATTAAGGTACTTAACTATATTAAGATATTAAGATTGTGTTGAATAAATATATCTGAACCTACCAATATACACACTTAAAATCTTTGCTTCAAAACATTAATACGATTTGATGATATCTACTCATAAATGTCTGCATGTAAATTTCGTTATTTATATAAAGCTATTTATATTTTAATCAAATCGTACAAAACATCGCTTACGTGACAATCTAAACGAAGGTTACACCTTACAGGCGGTAAAAATTATTATGTAGCCATTAATGTGAATTTTTCCACAGTTTTATGACCTTAGTATTGTTCGAATCTTTTGTTAGTTTCTTAAAATTGTGTCGTAGAATAATTTCACATAATTACCCTGTTTTATACCTACTTACTCAGCTCTGTGGTCATTTCAAAATGAAATACGATGTTTATACAATGAAAGATACGTAAAAATTTTAAGGACTTACATAAATAGGTACCCACAATAAGTAAAAAACTACATAAACAGTCATTCATATTATATGCCTATACAAATAAATAATAAAACACAAACAACATTTAAAACACAAAAACATTTAAACACAAACAAACAACAATATAAAGAAAGAATTGATCACATAATTGCCATTCACGAAATCATGAAAAAACTCCTCATATTCAACCAGATTCAACCTGTAATATGATACTACTTTAAAATTCTAAGTTTTGTAAACAAACATGTTACATTAAATTAGTAAAGAAAAAAGAATCAAACAATTGTGTACTTAAATCACTTATTAGTGCCAAGATTCTATGCTTGCATTTCTTGACTGCTGTAATTTATTATTGAGCCTAGCTAGGGAAAGTGAAATCATATTCCTAGGTATGGACCTGCAGATTTTCATGTGTTGTTTGAGATTCTTTCTCGTTGACTTTGCACTGCATATATTTTGTTTTCCTTTCCTTACCAAAAGCAGTGGCTTTCCCTTTCAAATCTATAGTTTTTTAACTTATACGAATATTTAAGTGAATCTTGTATTAATACAGCCGTTCGCGCTAGTCTACTGTACCGCCTACTGTAACCTCTTTTTTCTCTTATTGAAAACATACTGATTATATATTATTTGGTTTAAGTTATATATTTTTATTGCTCTACCTGTAATTGTTTTATTTTTAAGTTATTTTAGCGGTTCAGTAACTAATATAAAATAAAATAGAGGAAAACACTTGAGTAGGGAATTTTGTAAAATTCTCTACTCTAAGGGAAAACATTACGCATTGTTTTACATTTATCGCCTAGTTAACTCAATAAACTGCAATAATATGTAATTTGCAAATTATTTCTCCTGGCTAATGTACTATGACAATATGTCAAAAACCAGAATATAAAAAAAGAAGAAGAAATATTATCCTAACCTTAACACGGGGACAAAACCGACAAAATAACGTTTGTTTATATATACAAGTTTTCAAAAGACAAATTAAAATAATGTTTTACCACGTAAATACTGACTATATATTAACAAAATATTTCCTTATATATTTTTTATCATTTTTAGATATCTCTAGAACACGAAATCCTACTACATCCACAATATTTCGGACCACAACTATTAGAAAAAGTCAAAACCAAATTGTATACCGAAGTTGAAGGAACCTGCACAGGAAAGTAAGACAGTCCTTATAATTGATCTCATTCGAAATACCTTAAAAAGTTTGTGGCATGATTTATAGATTCTAATTACCTATTTTGCAGGTATGGATTCGTGATTGCCGTGACCACGATAGATAGCATAGGTGCCGGTTTGATATTACCGGGACAAGGCTTCGTAGTCTACCCCGTTAAATACAAAGCCATCGTGTTCCGCCCGTTCAAAGGTGAAGTCCTGGATGCAGTGGTTCGACAAGTGAACAAAGTTGGCATGTTTGCTGAAATAGGTCCTTTATCCTGCTTCATTTCTCATCATTCCATACCCGCTGAAATGGAGTTTTGTCCTAATGTTAATCCACAATGCTACAAGACCAAAGACGAAGATGTTGTGATACGAGCAGAAGGAGAAATCAGATTGAAAATAGTGGGTACGAGAGTAGATGCCTCGGGAATAGTAAGTACCTCCTTATTTTTGTATATATTATGTGTAAAGATTAGTTACATTGATTTTATTATTTTTCAGTTTGCAATTGGAACCTTAATGGATGATTATTTGGGATTGATAAGTAATTAAGTTGAATATTTTTAAAATGTATTTATAAGTTAAGTATATAATTTTTAATATATAAAAATCAATCAAACATTTATTCAAAGAGGCATTTATTATTACCCGTTTAGCAAAAGATCATCATCATCATAACTAGCTCAGCAACTTTTTGGCCTTAGCCTGTTGTAGGATTCTTCGCTATTCTGATCTGTTTCATTCTTTTTTTTTTAATTTATATATTTAAGGTTGTTATATTTTTTTCTATTTGTTTTATGTATCTCAACTTTAGTGTTCCTTTTGTTTTTTTTCTTCTTCATCAAATTCCATTTTCTTTTGTCTTTTGTATATGTTCCACAAGGTTTTTCTTTCAAAGGTGGCTAATAATCTTCCTTTCCAGATTTCGTCTGTTTTAGAGAGTTTCCGGATTTCTGAACCTTTATGAGTACCAATGTTATAAAGGCTTTATATTTGGCATTTAGATTTTCTTGTGACATTCTTCTTCTTTGGATGCTGTCTTCGTAGCGAAGGTTGGTGATGACCTCTGCAAAGTCTTTTCTATTTTGGGCTTTCCTTATTAAACTTTGAAAGTGTCCAATCTCTGATGTTGCTCAGCCAGGTCATTTGTCGTCTACCCAGGCCGCATCTGCCTTCTATTTTCCTTTCTATAATAATCTTGTGACATTAGTTGTCTAATTAATCCATGGTAACATTTATCAGTAGTGAATATTCGCCTATTCAGTCCCTCTGTAATGTTATTATCAGATGTAACCAGACATAATAAGTTTTTAAAGTTTGGGGCCTCCTAAATGTTGTTTTCTCTCCTATTGTTAAATTTTGTAGCTGCCATATTTACACCTATTGGCGTTTTTTCTTATATATTGTTTTGTCCTGATTGATTTTAACTCTACTATTTTGTGCAGCTTGTTTTATTTGATTGAATGCCTCTATCATTTCTCTTCTTGATCTTACAATTGTGTCAACATCATCTACAAACTCTAGTATTTGCACACTTTTATTAATTATTGTTCCTCGAGTATTGACTGTTGCTTCTCTTATTATTCTCGAGTTTCTTTTATTAATACTATAAGTTGTGTTGGTATATCAAATTCTTCTATTCAAATTCATTGTTTGTATTAAGAATTCTGTTTATATTGTCATATGCACTTTCTAAGTCTATGATGATATAATATGTTGATGTTATAGTCATTTGTTTTCTTGCGGGTCTGCCATAGAACAAATATCTGGTATATTGTTGACTTCTGTCTGCAAAAGCCACATTGGTATTTGCCAACTATTTTTCAGCTTTGGGTAAAACTCACCATAAATGAATTTGGATGTTGTTTTGTATGCAGCATTTAACAGTGTCTCCTTTTTTATATAATTCAATTTTATGGTACAATAATATCACTAATCCACTCCACTGGTAAATGCTTATTCAACCATATCTTTGTTATCAGTTCATATATTGTTTTTAGTAAGCGTCTCATCCTTCCTTCAGTAGCTCTGATGCCCTTTGATCCGATCCAGGTGATTAATTGTTCTTTAATTTGTGTTCTGCTGTTCTAATGAGGAGTCTTTTCTCTGTTATCTGCTTGATCTAATGGTATATCAGGGTTCGCCTGTGATCTATTTCCCCCAAGCTTTTGTTTAAAATTGTCTATCTATCTTCCTAGTATTTCTTATCGTTTGTGTCTAATTATTCTCTGCTGTTGTTGTTTCTGGTAAAACTTTCTTGTCACTGTAGGCTTAGCAAAAGATTGGTTTATCTAAATATTACTGGTTGTTGATATACTGATCTGGAGCTAACCATTAATTCACATTAATTCAACTCAAAAATACGTTTGAGGAACTAAAAGCATAGGCAACCAACGCCATATAAAATTTTAATGACCACAGATCTATAGAATGGTGAAAAAGTAGGAACATAGGCAATTAACATTACAGTAAAATCTAAAATGTTAAAACCATAGATGGAAGCATCGAGCAAAAAGACAAAAGAGGGAATGTAAAGGTAGTGGGGGCAAACATATTGTTGGACAGGAAGTGAGATCTTTACACGCCACATTAAACAAGGAAAGAGAGTCTCTCTCTTTGTTAGACACCAAATTTAGTTGGGTTATGTTATTGTTTGTCCGTCCCAAATGTCACATGAAATCTTATTTATATTGAAGTTTGTTAACAATTGTGTCGCATTTTAGACGATTATAGTTAATAATTAATTAAAACTTTCTCGTCTAAGACATATTCTGAAAAATATATAGCTACTGTTGATAAGTGTCGGAAAATTTAAATTTGGCGCATTCGCATTTCCGGATATGTCCGCCATGAGAGGCCACTTTTTTGGTCTCCTTTTCATAAGGATTAGATTCCCTCTTTTGTCTTTTTGCTCGATGGATGGAAGACACACGTTTTCGTTGCAATGTCTAATGTTGACAAACTAATAAAAGGCGATAAATGACATTTGAGTGTTCCGAGAGGAGCTGTCTTTGTCAAATGTTACTTATGTGTTAAATTTATCTTTATCTAAATCAAATATCTGTGAGTTTGATTACAAACTACAGAAGAAAAAAAAATAGAAAAAATTAACTACTAGTTTTGACTGAAGATAATACATTATTTTTTAATAGTGTTTAATTATTATTAACTAGCAAAAATGGCAGGTCATAATTCTTGGAAGTCGTTTATTTTTCGAAGAAGTATAGTTGTAAAAATGTAAGTATTTTAAATATTTTATTAAACTTACTATTTTTTTTGGAATTATATGTAATAGAGTATATTGCAAATATTGAAGACATACATTATCAATTAAAATTCTTGCTATATCTTAAAATAATAATTCTAGTGAAGAGGCAATTCGTCAATCTGGTATGAATCCCCCGAGAAACAGTCAAGAAATGGAAAATCATATCTTCTCAAGAGCCAAGAATAAAGATGAATATCTTGCATATGCTGCCAGGATAATCTTGCATATGAGAGAAATGAGTAAGTGTCTGAATTATTCAATCAGTTTACTTAGTGTCTAAAAGATTTGTAATATTTTAATCTAAAATTTAATGTCTCATCTAAAAGGTTAGACGCATTAATAACTTATTGACGTTTCTATTTTTCCATTTTTTATTGTACTATTAAAATGGGTGAAAACAACTTTGAATAACTCTGATAATTTATTGGAGATAGTGATTCATTGGCAAGAACTGATTTTATTATCCACTGTTGGGAAATTACACAATTCCAGCGGCGTCCTTATTTTATTATTTCTTTTTAATTTAATTATTTTATTGGAAATTAATTTCATCCTGATATCTCTGTAGGTGCCTTTGTAATCCAGTAAATTTCGTAATTATGCAAATCTTGACTTATTATTATGGATACGTGACATCCTACTATTAATTCTTTTATCTGAATTAATTTCTTACATCCAGACATTTTATTCAAAACCTGTTATCGACAAGGAAATATGTGCTTCAACGGAACATATGTGAAGATCGTATTACCATCGAAACAGTTTTTGCGATCAGTGTTGTTTTGTTGTTATACAGTAGAACCCCGATTATCCGTGTGTGGATTATCCGTACTACTTAACATTGAATTGGCGTTTTATCAGAATTACTTCACCGCAAATTACTACGCCGTGGGAAAGGCGCATAATGTAATATCCATAGCGTCAGTGCTCGGTGAATCCCTGGAAACCTGGAAGCTGGTAGCTTATATGCCGCTGCCTGCGTGTTACGTCGAATTTGTGAGATTTAGTACATATTTACATAGTTGGAAGCTAGAAATCAGTAGCTACTCTGATTATTTTTCATTCAGTCACATCATTATCATGGAGCTACGAAGTTGGTAAGCAAACAATACGCGATATTAATAGAAACAAATTGAAACTTCAAAATTTTATATCTCAATCTGACTCTTTTAAAAACATATCTGCACGGAAATCGTTGAAAGGATCGACTTTTCAACTACTCGATGAAGCGCTCTCCAAGTGGTTTCTGCAGAAAAGATCTGAGGGCGTACCAATTTCAGGACCAATGCGTGTTTACTCTTAAAAACCAGAATATAGTGTTAAACCGTTTTTCAATTTAACAATCGTTATATTTGTTATTTGATAATTAATTATATAAACAAATTATTTAAAAAAACGTCTACCTATTTTCATTTTTCAAAATAAATCCAAATTTCAATGTAGACAATATTTAAGATTCAGATGCCTTCATGAAACGCCACTGATAGAGTAATCTATTTAATGCCGTGAATTAGTCTACATAATATATATCCTTTAGATCATTTTTCAAAGATTTTTATTATAGCTAGTATATGTTATTGTCTTATTTCTTACTTTTGCTTGGTTCTTATGCTTCAATTTCATGTCTACAGGAGAAAGGATGATTGTTCGTGATCAGAGAACACGAGGATAGTGTCTCATGAATAGTAAGTAACTCTTTATTTATTTATTTTTCTATATTATTTACAAAGTTAATTTACATTGTCTTTATTATTTTTCAGTTCTTCATTGGAACTTTACAAGATATACTTTATGGGATTAATAAGTAACTAATTAAGTTAAATATTTTTAAAATGTCTTTATAATTCTATAACTTTTAATATATAAAAATAAATTTATTCAAACTAGCTGTATTATTACTCGTTTAGCAAAACATTTATTTATCTACAGAATGTATGGATATACTGATTTTAAGCTCATCAATAATTTAAATCAAAAATACAGTTGAGCAACCAATAACATAGGCAACCAACATTACAAAATCATATACCAAAGACCTGTAAATGGGTGGAGAATTGCGAACATAAGCAATAAATATTACTGTAAGATATTAAAAAGATCACAGATGGAATACACTTACATGTTCTAATTTTTTCTAAGAGTACAAATATTTTTAATTGTTGGTTCGAAAGAAAATAGTATAATCTATTTTTTTTCGTTGGCTAGTTGGTATTCTTTTTATCCAGGCCAGAACACTGAACTAAACAATACAAAACTCTCATTTGTACACGGTGGATAAAAATCACTTATTTATTTTGTTCTCCATATTATCAGATATATCACTATCAATAGTGATATAAACGTTGAGGTTTTTACAGAGATAGTGTTGCTATATAAGATAGTTACCTACAAAACGGGACCAAATATACAAGCTAAGTTTTATTATTCCTCCAAGCATGATTTATTCCATTGCTCTTCATGCTTGGAATATGACTGAGAGACAAAAATTAGAAACACTGAAATAAGACGTAGAATGAAGATTAAGGATGTTGTGGAAGAAATTACAAAAATGAAATGGTGCTTGTCACGTCACGTAACCCGATATAATGACAACACGTGGACACGGAGAATTCTAGAATGGAGACCAAGGACGACAACAAGAAGCATGGAAAGATCTAAAAAAAAATGGGTAGATGACATAAGAGCAGTGGCAGGCAAATAGTGGATTAAATGGACCACAGGAGTGATGACGTTGATTTGATTGACATCTGTCAGTTTCACTTTCCAAACAAACCTTGTTTAGTGTGGATAATTTGTATTTTTCGTTATTTTTTCATTTATTTTATAGAATCTTTCCGCTTTTTGCAATATTTAAGTATTCTAATAGTTACTACAACAATTTTACAAGGTTGTGTAAATAATAAAGCACATTGTTTTGTGCTAATAGGAATAAAATGCAAGTATCAATAAAGTAAGGTTAAAATTTCTTTAATTAAACTTTTAAACCATATTTCATAGAAATAGAACTCTGAATTATGATGGTATTATCGTAAAAAACACTATACTTACAAGAAAAAGCAGCAGAGGAAGCAAAATGTTAACTTTATATGAATTAAAAAGTCTGGAGATTTGACATCTTTGGTGTTTGGGAAAAAGGGCTTAAGTCAGAATTTCGCAAAAAAATTTTTTATGCCTTCTGGACCAAAAAAATCAGCTCTTTCTATTGGTACAAACGGTTTAAGTCTACCACATTGTAATTCAAAGTTATCCACGATGATATGAAGGTCACATACATGATTGTTCAATATGGTATGGCAATAAGACTTAAGTCAATTTATGTCTCTTGTACCATATACTGGGGAATAACTGCTATGATCTAGAAGGCATATGTCTTGACATAAGCCTTGCTGATCTTTATTTATTTTCTTTGTTTTAATCAATAGGTCAATGTTTTTATAAAAATATTGTGTATACACGAAAAATTAAAGTTTTGGCTAATAATAAATAATAATATTGGCATTATTTATATTTTAATTACTTACAAAATAGTTATCTACTTTCTAGCATAGCACTTTTTTATTTTAGTTGTATTGGCAAAATTCGTAAATATTTTAGATCTTACGTGTCAAATTACTGATAAACATCATAAACATTCCTTTAGTATTTACACTTCAGTCGGCTGTATACTGTGTAAGTGTTTAGCTTGGCATTTTGTATTATTTTGTTAAACTTGTTTTTAACATCCTAAATAGTTTGTTTGAACAATAGGACAGTTTCAGTTTATTAATAGTAGACGAATTAGTAACTAATAATTTAGTATACCAGACAGATGTAGCAGAAGACGAATTAGTAACTAATAATTTAGTAGACCAGACAGATGTAGCAGAACCTTGTGGTACAAGTTCAAGTATTAAAAAACGAAAAAGAGGAGTAGGACCTTGGGTTCGAGTTGTTCGAAAAGAAAGAACAGATAAAAAAATCGTGGAGAAGGTTATGTTACTGTAACAGGAAAGCTTGTAGCTCAAAGAATGGTAGAAGGGACATTGAAACCATGTAGATCCAAATGTGCAGATTTCTTTACCTTTGATATAAGACAGACAATATTTGAAGAATATTGGTCACTTGGAACTCACGATAGACGGACACAGTACATTAGTGGCTTAGTTTCGTGCAAAAATACTACTACAACAAGAAAAAGAAATCAAGACTCTGCCAAATCCGGACAAGTCACATATGTATACCATTTAGAGTACCAAGGTGAACACCGTGTTGTATGTAAAACGTGTTTTATGGATATTTTAGATGAAAAGGAAAAATTTGTAAGAATTGCATTAACTAACAAAGGTAACCACAAATCAGGTATTACAGATGCAGATAAACGAGGAAGAAAATCACCTGGAAACAAAAAAACCGAACATATGAGAGAGTTAATTATAAATCATATTAACTCATTTCCGCAATACAAAAGTCACTATACTCGCAGAGACAACATTAACAAGTATCTTTCCAATCATCTTAATTTGAAAAAAATGTATGAACTTTATTGCGAGGTAGTAACAGCTGGTTACCAGCTGTTCTCCGTTTGAAGAGGTTTACTCTCCGGCTCTGGTACTCACTTCAGCCATGTATGTTACCTGAACTCAAATTTAATTTAATACTGAACATCACAGTTCTTTTTCCACAAGATGTACAATTTTTTACAACTAGATTTAATTTAAAGGGTTTTTACCCAGGTATTTTTGTGACTCAGGCATTATAACCTTGTAATTTTAAAAAATTTAAACCTGATGATGGACTGTTTAGTCCGAAAACGTTTGTTTTTCTTGATGTAGCCCTTTGAAGGGTTTTTAAATAAATATACCCATTTACGAAGACTAGCCTCTTTTTTTAATAATTATTTGTTAAAAAAACATTCATTTGTCAATATTTTGTCAGTAAAATATTTAATGCTGTTTTGGTTTTAATTCCCAATCCAGTTTAATCACTTTCAATGGTAAATACACAAAAATATAGATATAGAAAAGTCGCGGTCAGTAGGTCTTAAGTCAGTAAATAGTAAGATCTATATGTCTTAAGTGCATCTAACATATTAAAAATCTACGAAAATCATCTTCTTGCTATAATTATCACTTTATTATGGTACATTGAATGGTATTATTGTGCTAAATTGGTTAAAGGTAACATGTGCGATTTATAACAATTTTTTAAACATTCAAGTATTCCTCCTGTAAACTTTGATTTTATGACTTAAGCCCTTTTTCCCAAACATCAGAGATTTCAACGTTTGTTTGGAAAGTAATAATAGTCGTGACGTCACACTCCTGCGGTCCATTGGCGCAAAAGATACAGATGGATGCAATTGGGAGAGACCTCCATTCAGAAGCGGATAGAAAATGGTTGACAAAGAAGTTTTATTATATTATACTTTGTAAGTTATGTTTTATTATATTTTAGTTTATACATACACCAAAGAAATAAAACTAATATCTGACCAAAGAATATAGACGCATCTGACATTCACAGATACTTCTAATGATCCGTTCTGAAGATTTACTCGGTCATTTGGTAAAGACACTTGAATGTTCCATAGTATAGTATTGTGGTGTTCCGAGAGAAGCTGTCTTTGTCAAATGTCAAATGTCTAGTTTATCAACTCAAATAGAAACAAACTGCAGAAAATGAGAAATAGAAAATAAATTTTCATTTGCTAGTTGTAGTTGAGTAGTTTTGACTGAAGATAGTAAATATCTTTTGAATAGTGTTTAATTATTAGTAACTAGAAAAAATGGCGGACGAAAATTCATGGAGAACGGCCACTTTTCGACAAAGTGTAGTCGCAAAAATGTAAGTATAAAAAATAATATTTTCCTTTATTTTAAATGCTTTAAAATTATTATTTATATATAATACTATGTCTGTGATAGAGTGTATAGAAATGTATTTTGTATTAAATACGTAAATTATCTATTAAAATTGGTTGCTATATCCTATAATAATTCTAGTGAAGAGGCAATTCGTCAGTCTGGTATGAACACTTCAAGAAACAGTATAGAAATGGAAAATCATGTCTTCTTAAAAGCTAAGAATAAAGAGGAATACCTTGGATTTGTCGCCAGGTTAATCTTACATGTTAGAGAAATGAGTAAGTGTCTGAATTATTTAATCAGTTTACTTCGTGTCATGCTTGTATTTTACTCTAAAATTTAACGTCTTAAGTTAAAGATTAGACATTAATAACTTATTAATAACTAAAATAACTTTGAAATACTGAAAAACCTCATTCCTAAGTGTACCTTCACTTCTCACCATTATCGGAACTAGATCAGTGCTGTCTTTTAACAATCAAGTTGGTTTTTAATGTTTCTTCTTTCCCAGTTTTCTCACATGTAATTTAACTTCATGTTTCATACTAGTTCATAAATAAATGTGAAGGCATTTATACCTGTGATGCAAATACTTTACATGATGCCTTTCAAGACCACTTCTGTCCTTCTGTGTGGCACAATTACTTTAATTTTGGTCAGATCTGTGCTTTCTATTTTATCTTTTCCATTCAACTTAGTAGTATTTCAGCATTTAAAACTATAGCAAAAATATTATACCTTTATGTTGAATATTGCATTCAAAGCCGATGATACAAAATTTCCTTCTAGTCTTTTCTATGATACTTACTAAACTGTTTTTATATCTTCCTATTTTATACATTTAAAACACATAGAAAAAATTCCAGATATTCTTAGAAATCATTATTCACATCCAGTGTAAGTTACACTTAGTTTTTTCTCACTTTTGCATTGTTCTTATGCTCCAATTTTGTTTCTACTAGAACCGAAACCAGGGGGAGGGATGCCTGTTCCTGGTCAAGGACAGGGAGGGCCTGGCATGCCTGATCCTATCAATGCTCTCCAAAACTTGGCCAGTCAAGGCACCAGAAACTCCATTATGACAATGGGTCCACAATCTGCACAAATGGGAGGGCCACAACAAGCGCCTGCTACTAATTTGTTACAGACCTTAAACAGGGGACCAGGACAACAAATGATGATGGGTGTGATGACTGGAAATATGCCCATGCAGGTATGTACTTTAGTATTATGCAAATGGAAGTCATTTTTATAGTAACTTTTATTTGTTTCATTTTTTGATAAACATTTTTACTATTAATAATGCACAGGAAAGAGATTTGTAAATAAATTTGATAGTTTAATCACATATTTGTTTACTCTTCTATATATAATAAAACATTGTTCTTAATATGCCAACAGTACTTAACATTTTTCTCAAAAACTACTTTTTATATCATCATCATCTTTGGCTCGACAATCCTCTGTGGATATTGGCCTGCTCTAAGATTCGTCACCATTCTGTTCGGTTTTTGGCAACATGTTGCCATCTTCTGATTTTTAATATTCGTAAGTCGGTTTCTACTCCATCTAAACACCTAATTCGCGGTCAGCCTTTGCTTCTTTTTCCTACAGGTGTTCCTGTGGTTAGCTTTTTAGCAATGGTATTTCCTGGCATTCGTATTATGTGTCCAGCCCATCTAAGTCGCTGTGTTTTAATGAACGTTATGACATCTGGCTCATCAAAGAGCTGATACAATTCAAAATTATATCTTCTGCGCCACTGCCCTTGGTCGTTTGCAGCTCCAAATATTTTGCGGAGTATTTTACGCTCAAATATTCCCAAAAGTCTTTCATCTTTCTGCGTTAGGGTCCATGTTTCTGCTTCATATGTGAGGACCGGCCTCAGCAATGTTTTGTATATAATAATTTTAGTTTTTCTTTGAATGTTTCTTGAGTGGAAATGCTTTTGGAGTCCATAGTATGCCCTATTTGTAAGATTTTTTATTTGTACAAGTTTATTTTACTACTACCTTTTTTTTCGTCAACAAGTCATAAACACCTTGTCTAAGGGCTAGAAACCCGAGTGTTGAAGTATTACGTTGCCATGAAGTTAATTCCGTTACAACTTAAACATCTTCATTTGTTTATCATCAAAAATGTAACTTAAAATTACTTTAACCATATTTATAACGTGTTTACCCATGTTTTAGCGGCTTCAAACATATAAACACAAAAAAAGCATTGATGATCATTACGAAAACATTCTGTGATGTAGCCCGATAGGGATTTTATATTCGTATACCTTTCATAAAGGATTTTTTAAATAAAAATTTTTATCTTTTTTTCGTAACCAACTGGATTACATTTCTGAAAGATCATTTAAAGTGATTTTATAGTAGGTTTGATAGTATATTGTCAGATATGATTCATATTCTTTCCTTATTCCCAGTTTCGTCAGTAAAAAACTAAATATGTTTTGATTTTTTATAATTCTAATATATGATCTGAGCAAGTGATTTGTGAATAAAACCTATGAAGAATAAATAAAATGATTTATTACTAAGTATGATTTTTTGTAAGTAGTTATAACTGTTAAAATTCTGTGAACATATGAACATATTACTATTAGTTAAAAATCCAAAACTGGCTGACCATTTGTATTGATTTTAGAGTTTATGTAGAAAAAAATTGACAATGACAGATCAAATATCTGTGACCCCCATATATTATTTATAATGATTCATTTTCTCTCTCTTATGTTCTTTATGTTAACTGAGGGAAACACTTAAAAGTCATAAAAACTGTATAACAAAAGATGAACTTCACTGCTCAATTTCACATGAGGCACATAATTTTCAATTGGCCATTCTGAGGTACTGGATAATAACTAAAGGGTACCTTTCAATCTAATTTTCCTTGTGTGGGCTCAAAGTATCTGGTAATTTAGAAAATCAAGAACTTTTGTAAATTTACTTATCAATAACTGTTATTTACTTAGATATTTTTAACAAGTTACATTCAAAAAGGTCTAATTTTTTTAAAACTTTATAATACTTGAATGCCATAAGAAGAATATCAGATCAAAATAGACGTTTTAGGTCTGAGAATGGCTATTTGAAAATGGCCTTGTATAATATCCAAACAATAACTCTAGTTTAACAAAAACTGCTAGACTGTTGACATCCACCTCTTACAAATCATTTATTGAAATAACAACTTACAACTATAGCATTGAGAATCATTAAGATTCGCATTCTCATTCATATATTCATAACATTTTTCAGTAGGATATATAAAGTTCAGGTTCTTAGTGACAATTTTTTCACCTAGAGACCTCACTAATATTATTTTCCTTAGAACTATCCAGCAAACAAATCACTCCCAGTAATTTTTAAGTTTGAAAATTGTGTCAAGTATTACTCTGTATAGATACTAGTGATATTAGGGTTCAATTTTTGTACCTTTTATTTTTGCTAGATCCATTATAATTAGAAGACCCATAAGTGGAGTTAAATTTGTTATCTAAAGATCAATCATCATCAGTGGCATTACAGCTCGTCAAGAGCCAAAGCCTTCTTCAGAACAATCTTCCATTCGCTCCTGTCTCTGGCAACTCTTCTCCATGCTTTAACTCCGATGGATTTTAGATCATCTTCTATGTTATCTTGGTACCTAAGTTTTGGTCTTCCTCTGACTCGTCTTCCCACTGGACCTCTTCGGTCAAAAATATTTCTGATTGTTGCATCTTCATCTCACCTAATTACATTCATATTCATCGAAGGCGTGCTAATTTGTTACATTTTACATACATACAATCTAAAGATCAATAATAGCCTCAATTTATTGTCATAGTTTTTTTTTCTTGAATACACGATATGTTTTTAAAAATACAGTTTTAATGAAATTATAACGTTAATTGATTCAAAAACAATTTATTTTCCATAAAGAAAAATCTAAAAATTGTTTTAAATTGTTATATTAATGTCTTTCAATGCTAAACACATTTAAAAACGATAAAAGCTTTATCTGATACCATAAAAATATAGAAATTTGCGCATATACCGGATGTCTGCTGAATTAAAAAATATTAAAGTGAAAATAGCCAAAAACAAATTAATGATTTACCAGTCCAATAGTATTTTTCTTTTTTTAATTGTTTGTATTCGTTATTTATGTAATTTTTTATGAATATTACAATTATTAAAGAATAAAGATAAAGACAATGAGAATTTTACATTCGTTTTTTGCTCGCCAGCATAAATCCCAAACAGTTACTTGTTGTGTTTAGATAATTACGAATCTAGCAAAAAAGAATCATCAATTTAACCACTTAATTTAGTAATCAAAACCAAAACTGGTCAGTACTTTACCGAATTAAAGGAATTTGCAAAAATTACCAGTGTATAAAGCGATGTAGTCAATGATACATTAATACCAGATTTTATTGTGTTAGTGTGTTCTTTTGTATGCTATGTACAACGGTCTTTCTGTTATTATTTGTTTTATATAAGTTTTTAGTTCTTCGTTTTTGTGTTTTTCACAATATCGGACAGCAGGTTATCACATTTTAGTTATTAAATCGGCATTTACCATTTACTGCTATCTTTATTTTTACGTATGTTTAAAATATTTCTTGCAATTATTAACGTCGGTTACGTTATCTAATATCGTGCGAGACTTCCGCGAAAAATGCATTGATCGTTTGGAATTTCGCGTATTGTTTACCTTAGATCGTCGGTCTTTCCAAACTAAAATTACTAAGTAATACACCAACCATGAGAAGGTATTATTGTGTAAGTAATTATTATTTGTAATACTATATTTTTTGGGAAAATACTCATCTAGTGGCCACACTGTACTCCGTATATTGTTTATAATTGTTATCATGTATCGACTATAACCTCAAAGTTTCGTATAGCATAACTTTTGTGATAGTTTATTATAACAATAAAATATTCATATATTAACCTTCTTCTTCCTTCTAGTATGTAGGCTTTATATCCTGTTTCTTCTTCAATATTAGCCTCCTAAATTGTTTAAATTGTCGCACGATCTTTTTCTTGGTCTGCCAATACTTCTTCGTCCATTTCGTGACTCATCTCATGATATTTGTACTATTCTATTCTCTGCCATTCTACTAAGGTATTCGTTCTACTAATGTTTCCGTTTTGTCACCCATCCATTTATGTCTTCTATATTGCATGCTCTTCATATGTTTTCGCTTCTCTCCCTATCCAACAGACTTCTTCCTGATATTCGTAGGAGTATTTTTATCTCTGTTGTTTCTAGCAGTCGTCTCGTTTTAGATGTGTCAGGTCTTGTCTCCGCCGTGTATGTGAATATCGGTCTAATTGCTGCTTTATAGATTCTTGGTTTTGTGTCTTGTATTAGGTGTTTGTTCTTCCAAACATCTCCGTAACTAGTTATGTCTATTCCCAGATATCTAAACCTTGCTTCCTACTTTATTATTTTCCCATCAATTTCGATTTTACACCGTAGTGGGTATTTAGATGTTGTCATACATTTGGTTTTGTCTGCTGATATTATCATATTGTATTTCTTAGCTGTTGTATTGAATATATGTATTAATCTTTGGAGCTAGTCTTCTGTCTCGGCGATTAATGTGGCGTCGTCTGCATAATATAATATTTGTATTTCTTTGTTCCCCATTCTGTAGCCATGACCTTACGTACTGCTTGTATTATTTCGTCCCATATATTAACCTATTGCATAAATTCTTAACTTAATTACATAAACATACTCCAAGTTTATGCACCAACTGCTGACAAGTCGGATGATGAAATAGAGCAGTTCTATGAGAATCTCCAAGAATTACTTAAAATGACAAAAGAGTTATGAAACAACATTAATCGTAGGAGATCTTAATGCCAAAGTGGGTTGTGGAAAAGTGGAACATATTTGTGGAAATTACGGACTGGGCAATCGTAATGATAGAGGTGACAGACTACTACAATTTTGCCAGGAAAAACAACTAACTATCATGAACACCTGGTTCAAGCTACCACTACGGAGGCTATATACGTGGAAATCACCCGCAGATAATAAAAACAATTGTGTCCGAAATCAAATCGATTACATTATTATAAACCAGCGATATAAAAATGCAGTAACGGATACAACAACATACCCAGGCGCAAATGTTCCATCGGATCACAACCTACTAGTGGCTAAATTAAAAATAAAGTTCAAAATGCTAAAAAAGACTGTCAAAAGAAAAACCGACATCAATTTACTTAAACAAGAAAATATACAAAGTATGGTAAAGACTAAACTCAACGAGGAATGTGAAAGACTCCAAAGAGAGTTATCACCAACTACAGAAGGCTTATGGACTGAAGTAAAGAATGCTTTTACTAGCGCCGAGAAATATATAAAAGACACTAATAACAAAAGAAAATCTAAACCCTGGATGACACAAAAAAATCTGGGAATGATGGATACTCGAAGAGCCTACAAAAATAAAAATAATAAAAAATATAGGGAGATACATCGTCAAATCAAGAAAGAAATAGCTACCGCAAAAGAAAATTGGATGATAGAAAACTGCCAAGAGATCGAAGAATCAATAAAGAAACACGACAGTCAAACGCTTTACAAAAAAATAAAAGATCTAGCTGGAATGACAAAACAAAGACTCCCTTGTAGATTAACAAACGACGAGAATGAAACGATATGGGAATTAAGCGATCTAAACAACGTATGGGGACATTACATAGAAGAACTATTCTCGGACACACCACTAAACAACATAATATATAAAAACCATGAAACCAGTCCTCCTATATTAAAACAAGAAGTAGAGAGAGCAATCAAAAACGCAAAAAATGGGAAAGCCCCTGGCCCCGATGACATACATACGGAAGTCATAAAGCTACTGGAAGAGAAACATTTAAATATAATCGTGAAATTATTTAATCAAATATATACAAGCGGTGAAATTCCACAAGACTGGTTAATATCAGTCTTTATTCCCCTTCCAAAAACTAAGGGAGCAAAGAAGTGTGGTGATTTCAGACTTATTAGTTTAATGTCGCATATGTTAAAGTTATTCTTGAAAGTTATTCACCAACGCATTTATAAGAAATGTGAACAGGATATCAGTGATGAACAATTTGGCTTCCGAAATGGATTTGGGACACGGGAAGTATTAACCAGTTTTATTATACTGCTGCAAAAATGTCGAGACCAAAAAAAGGATCTCTTTTTATGTTTTATTGACTATCAAAAGGCCTTCGACAAAGTAAAACATGATAAGCTGATGGATTGCCTTCACAAAAAGGGACTAGACGAGAACGATTTTAAAATTATCCAAACGCTGTATTTTAACCAAACTGCAGCAGTTAGAACAGAAGCCGGTGACACAGAAATATTCAATATCAAGCGAGGTGTACGACAGGGGTGTGTATTGTCACCACTACTTTTCAATATATATTCGGAAGAAATCTTTGCACGAGCACTAGAGCAATCAAGAGAAAAGGTGTTAAAATTAACGGCAGAGTTCTAAATAATGTACGATACGCCGACGACACGGTGCTAATTGCAGAGAGCGCACAGGATCTCCAGACACTCTTAGATCGCGTCAGATCGATCGGAGAACAATACGGCCTCAGCATTAACGTCAAGAAAACAAAAACAATGATTGTCTCCAAAACATCCATCCATCCACCCATGGCTTTAAACGTGAATGATAACATTATCGAAAATGTCGAGAAATTTCGATATCTAGGGTGCTGGATAACGAAAGATATAGATCCAGACATAGAAATAAAATCGCGAATTGAACAAGCAAGAAATGTATTTTTAAAAATGAAACAAATGTTTACGTCCCAAACACTCAATCTCAAAATCCGATACCGAATGCTGAAATGTTACGTTTACAGCACCTTACTATATGGAATGGAGGCCTGGACCTTCAAAATCAACTCACTCAGGCGTTTGGAAAGTTTTGAAATGTGGTTATTTCGAAGGATGCTGAAAGTCCCCTGGACAGCGCATATGAGCAACGAGCAGGTCCTACACAAGATGGGTACCCACAGAGAACTCTTAAAAATAATGAAAACACGGAAAACCTCATATTTGGGACACATATACAGAAATGAGAAATACCAGCTTCTGCAGCTTCTTATAGAAGGGAAGGTAGAAGGAAAACGTGGTCCTGGTAGACGGCAGGCGTCCTGGTTGAAGAACATTCGTGAGTGGACTGGTTTGGATTCTCAATCTTTAATAAGAAAAGCCAGAGACAGAAATGATTTTGCTGAGGTTATCGCCAACCTTCATTGAAGACGGCACCCAAAGAAGAAGATAAATTCTTAAGTTGTAATGGCCATCAATTATCTCATATCGCTGTGTGTTTGATAACTCTTGAAGAAAAAGTCCTACAGTCTTAAAAATTTTTATCCTTTGTTTTTCTTGAAATAAATGTAAGTCTTAAAACGTGATACATAGGCGCCCATTGTTCTAAGGAAAATCTTATTGAATTCTGATTTAGTAGGTCTTCTTATACAGTTTCTTTCCATGCGTTTTCAAACGTCACATCATAGTTCAGACTTCCTTTTACCCATATCCATGATACGTATATGTTATATCTATCTTTCAAGAATTCTGTAATTGCGTAAATTTTGAAAATAACAAACCTGAGCATCCCAAATTTTCTACTTAAAAACCATTTGAAAGCCCTATCAATAATATGTGTTCGATTTTTTGTGAGATTAAAGCTAATCCAAGCTAATTGCTGGAGCCAAAAGGAGTTTTGGTACCTACGTCGCGCCCAAATCTCAATAAAAATTCGTTAAAAAATGTAGAGTTTAGGCTCTAATAACTTGAAAACAGTTTTTTAGGGCACATATACTAGATTCGATTCGTTTGCCTGGAGTATTTTAATTCTGAACCTTCGACATTTCATTGAAGGTTTTTTGGCGATTAAAACCCCACGCCTGGTAAAACGGGTTTTTTAAGTTTAGACTCAGCCGCCCACTCTGGGTCAGATGCTGATTGCAGCCGATCACTCTGGATCAGACACTGCAGTGTTTACTGGTTTGGTCCGCCCCGAGTATTTCATTTCCCCGTTAACACCTATATCTAGGAGGCATTCCCCTATCCGCCACCTGAGGAGGCGCACGATGGAGGTCCAGCAACCTCTCACGGGATGGCAGAGAGAGAGAGAGAGAGAGAGAGAGAGAGAGAGAGAGAGAGAGAGAACTAAAGTGACAGATGCCATAGAAAAAATTGCACAAGCCAAATGGAGATGGGCTGGACATGTAGCACGTTTAAATGATAATAGGTGGACCAAAAGACTCATAGAATGGAGAGAGACTAGAGAAGATAAAAGACACCGAGGTAGACCACCAAAAAGATGGATGGATGACTAGAGAAAAACAGTGGGAAATTCAATACAGATGGCACAAGATAGAGAACTTCTTCTTAGGGTGCCTGTCCGTTCCGAACGTTGGCGATAATTCTGGCTATGATGACTTTGTTGGTTGCTATACGAAATAGCAGTGTTGAGGTCTTTCTATACCATGCTCTCATAAGCAAAGTTTTGTTGAAGATCCACATACATCCTCAGGCAGAGTTGCACAAATACATGATGTAGGTCATTCTTCAGTCTAAAATTATACGAAAAAGGGCTCCAGGACGAAGAAGAATATCCTGGCTTGCTAACCTGGTATGAGATTCCAATAATGTCTGAATATACAGGGTGATGCATTTGAAAAATCAAAGTTACTAATAATATAAGAGAAACGGCAAATCTGGCAACACTGCAAATACCAAACATGGAATCTCCGTATCCCAAAATAGGTGTATCTCAAATTTTGTACAATTATGACTAGCAGTTTACGAGATAATTGGCCGTTTCCAGACTTTTGGGCCACTCTGTACATATGATAAGCAATATTAAAGAGAAGTCACGCCAGCGCGTCCCCTTGTCTTAGACCATTATTAATGTCAAACAACGTAGAGTTTTCTCCTTCAATTCTAACGCATGTCCTTACATTTTGCATTGTTAGTTGGGTCAACTTAACTAACTTAGGTGGGATCCCAAAGTCTATCATTGCATTATTTAATGCAGTTCTTTTCACACTGTCATAGGCTGCTTTGAAATCGACGAATAGATAGTGTGTTATATTCTAGTGTCTTTTCTAGAATCTGCCTATATGCTTGAATTTGTTTTGAAAATGTTTCTCCTCAAAGCAATGATTCTATTCGTCAATGTTGTGTATTGATTTCAGGACAGACAAAACATCAATATGCCGCCAAACGGAGGGCAAATGGCCAACAACCAGATGAACAACCAAATGGCGAATCAAATAAGGCTCCAACAAATGCAAAACAACCCGTTGAACCAGATGGGCAGCCATTTGGGCGGACCTCTACAGAATGCGGTTCAAAATCAAATGGGCAACCAGATGGCAGGGCAAATGCCCGGACAGTTACCGGGACAGATGCAGATGGCCAGCAGCATGGCGAATCAGATACAAAATCAAATGATAGGTGAGTGAAATGGTTCTTAAAGTTTGCTTTTGCTCGTTCTCTCAGATGATGATTATTTTTTACTTGAAAACATCCTTATACAATGTATAACATAAGATTCTTTCATAACTTTAAAGCGTAATTACTAATTGTAGTATTTTGTTTATACTATTTTATAACCTATTGGAGGATTGTTCCAAAGAAGCCTTTGGCTCATAACGAGTTTTAACGTCATTAATTATGAAGGTGATGGTTTTATAACGACGGCATTTTTGTTCTTCTAGGTGGAATGGCCCAGCTACCCCAACAAAAATCCCAACAGATGATAATAAACCAAATTAACCCAAACTTCCCTAGACAGCCCACTCCCAATCAGATCTTCAACCAGAGTCCCTCTCCTTCCGTCCAATCTCCAGCAGGTTTAGGCAGCCAACCACCGGTAGCCTCGCCCGCTTTAGCCTCATCACCCGGCGCTCAGATGAACATGATAGGAAGCGTTGGACCTCCTAGATCCGTCGGAATGGCTCCTAGTCCTGGAAGCACCTTAAATACTCCGGGACAACCGAATCAGAGTCCGATGGCCGGAGGAGCCATGCCCGATGAACAGGCGTATAGAGAAAAAGTCAGACAGTTGAGTAAATACATCGAACCCCTAAGAAAAATGATAGCCAAGTTGGGAAATGAAGGTAAGTAACCACTTCTACTATGTATTTAGTTGTCTGTGTTTTGCGTATCAGACCAGACAGATACATATAACATAACAGTACAATCTCTAAAAAGACTTGCCGTTTGCATAAATTTTTAAAATATATTTAAAATATTCTTTCAGATGTCGAAAAAATGAGTAAAATGAAGAAACTACTCGAAATCCTCACGAGTCCCCACCAAAGAACCCCTTTGGACACGTTGCTGAAGTGCGAAATCGTCTTGGAAAAGATCGGTTGTAGAAGGAGCGACAGCAGCGTACCGGCCTCAACAACCCAGTTGCCGTTCAAGGAGCCGCACGTGTTTCACGCTTTGCTGGATGCTGTGAATAGCAACCTGCAAAGTCCCGTTATTAATCACACCCTACACCGAACGTTTGGGCCGCCGCTGGATGCTCTGTTTGGACCAGAAATTAAGTAAGTCTATGATAATTTCGTTTTTACTTACCTTACTTCTAGGTTAACATTAAATTAGTATGCTTGGTTTCAATCAAATAATTCAAAAGTGCTTTTTTCAATTTCTCAATAGACAGTAACATCTACCTTGTCGAGTGGATCGAAATTTTACGAAAATGTTAGTAAGGTAGTAGACAAAGGATAATGTTTATTTTTGAACTGTAATTTGTGAGATTCTAGCAACAGGAAAATCGAATTATCGTACAGTTCTTTCAGGTTGGTACCACCATTGAAGAAAATGAAACTCGAGGAACCTACCAGCGACATTCCCGACGTCCTCCAAGGAGAAATAGCCCGCCTCGACCAGCGGTTCAAGGTATCTTTGTGCCCCAACCAGCAACCAGGCTCCAAATCGATTCAGCTCATATGCTGGCTGGATGATAAGCATCTCCCGTGCGTTCCGCCGGTGTCTCTGGTAGTACCGGAAGATTACCCGAAGACTTCTCCTACTTGCCACATGGCTCCGCACGAGTACAACGCCACACAGTTCTTGTCTGCCGTTCAGATGCTCTGTTGGCGAGAATTAAGAAACTGCCGAAACATTTTTCGGTGACGCAGCTGCTGGATACGTGGGAGATGAGCGTCAGGCAAGCGTCGGCACCCACGCAGGTGCCGGTGACGCCTATAACTATCATGATGGGGTTGTAAGTTTGTGCGATATGATATTTTGTTTTGAAGCTATTTATTTTATCTTTCTCGTCTTGTAATACAGTATCTTTCCGGTTTTGAAAAAATAAAATCTATATTTATTTTACCTTACTTGACAAACTTTAGATCGAAACAGAATTAAAAAAAATCGATCCGATCGGTTTGTCTGTCTGCAATTCGAGAATTATAGCAGTCAAAATCGCAACAGATAGAGGAAACTGGTGACCAACGAATATTCCCTCATATGACGTCCGTTTTACATAATACATACAATTTATCTACATCTTTTATTTATTTGTACAATGATTCCAACAGACTAATAGAAATTTAATAAAAGTCTTTTTTTATATCTCTCATATTATATTAACAGCAAATTGCTCAGATATTCTTAAAGTTCTTGCCGGCGAGTTGAATATTCTGATATTATACTTTCCCGACTATAATTCTGTTTAGTATGTTTCAAGAGAAATTATTAGTAAATCAGGAGCTTACAAATTCTCCCTATTCGACCACTATGAACACTTAAAAATTGTTATTATCAGAGTAAGTTAATGCGATAGAGACTCTAATCCATTCCTTAAGTACAAGCAATCAATATTATAAAATCAACATTAAATAAAGATTTTATTTTTTTCAATTTTATGGTATTATTCGTCTACAATATTTCATAAAGATTATGTTTATATTTAGATACTTGCAATATTTTGTTGACATTAATTATATGAAAGGTCCCTCTTATTTGTTTATGGGTAAACGACGAAAACGGCAAGGTTTAGTCTACTCGTTTTTTAAGTTTTAAAGATCATGTCTGACGGACTTGGTGTGTTATTTTAAAACATTTTAACGTTAAATGTGGTATTACATTAAAATTTGACATTTTACGACAGGTGTCATGCGAAATTAGAAGTGAAATGTGACATTTCGTCAAGAAAGGTATTATTTTGATAAAGAACGTAACATTCGACGGGAAATTGATATTTTACATCACAGAACGTGTGGAATTAGACGTGAAATGTGACATTTTGTCGAGAAATGTGCCGTTTTGACAGTCAACGTGCCATTTGACGAGAAATTGAAATTTTACATCACGTATCCTGTGAAATCAGAAGTGAAATGTGACATTCCGTCGAGAAATCTACCAGTTTGAGAGTCAACGTGAAATTGATATTTTACCACACTTAAAATATATCATTTTATGGTTCTAAAATTATTTTATTGCTGCATTTCTACATTTATCTTTATATTTGCTCATTTAATTATTAGAATTAATGGAAATACAACACGATTTTACCATATTTCGATTTCTACCTCGGAAATATACTCAAAACATCAAAAATAATGTATTTTCTATTAAAATTGTAGTTTATTCCTAATAAAATTATAGATAACATTGAAAAAGGCAACGAAATAGTTTCACAACCATATTAAACCAGTAGATTTAAAAAAATTTAATAGATTCGATATTTTGTATACATTTTATTTTCATTTAAAATCATGAGTTATTGTCACTAAATAGGTATGTGATTTATAATGTGACATTTGATGGCAAACTTAACGCCAAATGTAGCGTTTTAATGTGAAATGTAATATTTTGACGCAGAATGTCACATTTGACGGAAAATTGAGTAGTGCATGACATTTGATGCTATTATTTTAGCTTAAAATTTGTCATTTTGACATAACATGTGACATTTGACATGAAATGTATGATTTTATTGTGAAATGTATCATTTGCAATGTGAAAGTGAAAGTTTTCTTCACAAAAAAGCTATTAATTTAACGTTAACTTTGACCTTTTCACGTGAAGTATGGACATTTAACATGAAATGTAGAATTTTGATGTGAAATGTGAAATTTGGGTAGGAAATTAACAAATTTTCATGCAATACCTATGATTTCACGTTAAAATTCACGTCAGATTAACGTGAAATTTGACATATGATGTGAAATATGACATTTGACGAAAAAATCATATTTTACTTCACGTAAGATGTATCTTCTTGACGTCAAACAGGTCATTTGGTCTGAAATTGACAATTTTATCCACGAAGGAGCTATTATTTTAATGTGAAATTTGACTTTTAACGTACAATGTAACATTTTGACATGAAATATATCATTTTAAGGTGAAATATGTTATTTGATGTGAAATTAACATTTTTCGTCACGAAAAAGCTATTATTTTAACGTGAAATTTGACATTTTAGCGTGAAATATGATATTTAACGTGAAATGTAGAATTTTTATGTGAAATTTGGGCGGCAATTTGACAGTTTGTCATCCAATAATTATAATATTAACGTGAAATCTGACATTTAATGTAAAATGTAAAATTGGACGGGAAATTAACAGTTTAAGTGATGGAATAATTATAATTTTAATGTGAAATCTGACATTTGACGTAAAATATGTCACTTAATGTGAAATTGACATTTCTGTTCGCGCAAAAGCTTTTATTTTAAGGTGAAATGTGATATTTGATGAGAAAATAAAATTTTAAGGCATGTGAAAGCTATAATTTTTACGTAACATGTGACATTTGTCGTGAAATGTAAGATTTTGACATGAAATATATCAATCTAAAGTGAAATCTGTTATTTGATATAAAATTACATTTTTCGTCACGAATAAACAATTATTTTAACGGGAAATGTGAAGTTTGGACGAGAAATTAACAGTTTAAAGCACGCATAGTTATAATTTTAGCGTGAAACTGACATTTGATGGAAATTTATATTTTACGTCTCCTAAAATGTATCATTATGACGTGAAACAGGTTAATTGGTGTGAAATTGACATTTTTCTACGCGCAAGAGCTATTATTTTAACGTGAAATTTGATATTTTGACGTGAAATATGACATTTGACAGGAAATTAAAATCTGACAGCTATAATTTTAACGTAAAATGTGACATTTCACGAGAAATGTAACATTTTGACATCACATATATTCTTTTAATGTTAAATTTGTTATTTGGTGTGCAATTGACATATTTCGTCACGCTAAAGTTATTATTTTAATGTGAAATTTGACATTTTGACGTGAAATGTAGCGTTTTCACTTAAAATGTAATATTTAGACGTGAAATCTTAATTTTACGTAAAATTTTGACAAAAACGAGCAGAAACCCTTATACCGTTTTTTTGTCGTTTTCCTTTATGAACTATCATGGACTTCCTTCAGCAACCTTTACCAAAGTCGCTCCAGGATTTCGAATTTTATGATTTACGCATGTAACGGTTTACGTTAAATCGTTTTTTACAGTTTTTAATTTGGCTGAAACAAAGGTATAGTTTGTATAAGTACTTTTTGATTGAATTTTTTCTGTTATTGTTTTAATTTACGTAATTTTTAACCAATTTTTGTACGGTGCACGATGTAAAAAATATTCTAGAATTTATATACAAAATAAAAAAATTTTTTTTTTTTTTTTGAATGCTATTAATCACGATTTCCCTATATGACAAATTATTGACAAAAAAACTTAAGATAAATAACAAAATGTTGGGCAAAGAGGATTTTTTAATTGGATGACATCACCTATCTCAATATTCTTCTGTTTTGTGTTTTTTTTTCTGCACTTAATACCATTTACTTGCCTTACATCATCGCTTCTCATTTTCCAACCATTTTATCTTCAGTTTTTCTCTCTATATTATATTTGGCTTCTTATTTTGATCATTCTCACTCCTTCTTCAATGTTTGAATATGCTTAGACTATCTCATTCTTGGATTCTTAAAGAAAAGCTTTTTAAACTTTCTATACTTTTCCTCTCATACAGTGTGGTGAATCGTCAAACGGGCCATGGGAAACTCAATGAGAAATTCTAAATTGTTGAGTTCGTGCTTCCCTAATTTTTTTACACCAAACTCATGCGAAACTATTTGTAGAGGACTGAAATATGTATCGAAAACAAATGTTAAAATTGTTCTACGAATTAAACGTATTCCAAAATTTTGCAAAAATATAATACATTTTCAGGCGACCCCTAAAAGTCAGGCCACACGCGGTGCAGAAATGTGTATGACGTATTGCGTGTGGTCATATTTATGTTTCTGATATTTTACATTATTTGAATGGTCAAATTTATTTTTATTTTGTGATTTTATTGTTTAAAAAACAATTAAGTCCATTTAAAAATGTACTCAGTTGAAGAGAAAGGAGAAATAATGTTTTATTATAACATTTTTGATATAGTTTTATATTTAGAAATTATCATAAATTATTTTTCGAAATAAGGATCACAGTAAGTATTCACAGAGTGTATTAGAATATCTTACGTTAAATAAAGATCTGGTCGTGCTTTGATTACACCTTGAAAAGACATGAATACAATATTATTGCCATTTTTCGTCAACTGAGTCTTCTTCTTCTTCAAGTGCCGTCTTCGTTCCGAAGTTTGGCTATCATCAAAGCTATGCGTATTTTTGATGCTGCAGATCTAAACAGTTGGTAATTGGTGCAATTGTACCATTCTCTCAAGTTTTTCAACCATAAATGCCTTCTTCTTCCTATAGATCTCTTTCCCATTATCTTTCCCTGTATAATCAATTGCACCAACTGGTATTTATCTCCCCTCATAACATGTCCCAAATATTGTAGTTTGCGCTTTTTAACAGTACGTATCAGCTCTTTCTCTTTCCGCACTCTCCGCAAAACCTCCACATTTGTTACTTTCTCTGTCCAGGGTATTCTTAATATTCTACGATACATCCACAACTCGAATGCTTCTATCTTTTTGGTATCGATCTTTTTCAATGTCCATGTTTCCATCCCGTAGAGGAGAACTGACATAACGTAACATCTCAAAAGAAAAGAAGTTCTGATGTGAGCCCGTCTGGACCCGGTGATTTACCATTTTTCATTATTTTTATAGCGTATAATAGTTCTTTAGTTATTTCTGGTCCTTCGTCGCCTTGCAAGTTATCTATATTAGGTTCTTGTCTTTCATCGTCGAACAATTCTTCTGAGTCAACTGAGTACATTTCATTAACTTTATTGTTTGTAAACAATTTAATTTATTGTTTACAAAGTAATATTTATTGTTCACTAGTAGTAGTAGTAGTATTTAGTAAAATTCATTGTTTTTAATTTAATCATATAATAAAAAAAATTGAAAATTCAAATATTGTCAAACATCTTACATCAATATAACCAAACACAACACGTCATACACATTCTTGCCCTACGTGTGGCCTAACTTTTAGCGTTGGCTTGAAAAATTTATTTTGTATTTTTGCGAAATGTTAAAGCACATTTAATTCGCAGAACAGTTTTAACATTTGTTTTTAATACAGATTTCAATCCTCTACAAATAGTTTCCTATGACTTTTAATGTAAGATAATTAAGGAACCAGGAATTAAACAATTTATAATTTCCCATGGTCCGTTTGACGATATATTTGAACCCAAATTTATATCACTAATATGAGTATTTGTGGTATTTCTGTGTTATCTCCAATCTTTAATTGGAATTAATCAATACGGATTAATTCTAATATTGTAATTAATTAAAATATGTTGAAATTGAAAAAATATACTAGATATTTTCGTTCGTTAGTATTGTGCGATCAATATACCTGAGCAATAATGCCGTCAAAACTACAATTGAGATAAATTGATAACTGATTGAGCATTAAAAGCTATTTGGAAGAAAATTATGAAATTGTCTGCTTTTTACTCACGGGAAAAGTAGAAAAAATCACATTAGATAACTCCATGAAATAGTATATTTCGAGTAAATATATTTCTTTCCTATTTACAAACAGAAATAATGGTACACATGCAATTCAAAGGAATTTGGCACTGTTAGTCAGCATTTTCTTGTGTAGATCTGTTATTTCTTGTCGTGCAAATTTCCAAGAACCACCCCAGGTTAAGCCATCTCTAGGTATGGTAGGCGTCTGCTCGATTCAGGGTAGAGCAGTACATCCGAGCCCATTTCTCCCCAGAAGGAGGTCCTACAAGTTTTTCATCCAGGTGCAATCCCAAGTATTTGACAACTGGTTTTATAGGAATGGGAGTATTATTAATATACGCTTGTGGACTTGTAGATTTTTTTGTTGTAAAAGTAATTTGTACTGATTAGCTAGCATTAAAACTGATCTTCCATCGCTTAAGTCAGTTTTGTAATTGATCTAAATGATTTTGTACTTTTTGTGATGCTACATTAGGATCGATATCCACTGCCAAGATTCCTGTGTCATCAGCAAATGTAGCTAGAAGGCATCATTGCTGGTTGGAACATCTGGTGTAAATATCGGATACAGAAGTGGGCCCAAAACACTACCCTGCGGTATGCCAGATTGTATGATGTGGTAATTTGAGTAGCTGTCTTCAATTTTGACAAGTAACAATCAGTAAGTTTGTCAGTTCCAACAGATGTAATTAAAAAAAAAGATACTAAAAAATTCCATGTTTTATTTTCTTAAATTATAAATTAATTTAAATATAATATCACAAACCTAAATATGAACATAGTGAAAAAGTCAAAAATAAAGTTAAAACTAGTAGTGCAATAGCGATCCACAATGGTATAGTTTCTGGAAAAAAAAAATACAGAAGTTAATAAAAAATTAGTCACAAGGTGTTGATAATTTAAAGTGATGGTCCTGTTTCAATGAATGATTATATAATCGTTTTGCTCCTCCTAGCGGTATTTTAAATCTGAATAGTATTCTTTGCATATTAATTTTAGTTTCTGACGTGACTGCATAGCAGAATATTACTAAGGATGTCCCAGTAAGTATCTTATTTTTTATATATATATTTCTATAATATAAAAATGTTTTTAATAATCAAAAATATGATTTAATAACAAAAGTAACATTAATCCCTTTCTATTTTTAATGTTTTCATGAAAAATTGGTTTCAAAGTGACTAAAGAATTTCGTATGACTTACTTCTGTATGGCACGGTATGGATGCATAGTTGGTTATCTACAGAAATGGACAAGACTGCGGCTTCTACTACACTACTAATGGAATGGTTCAAGTTCTGGGTGGGAAGAAACTCCAACCCTGTGACAAACATGGAATGCGCTCCAACAATGGTCAAAATTTTCTGCAAATAAAAGTAGAAATGCTTAACAACAATAAATCTAATATATTTTGAATGATAATAAAACAATTGGTATTTATCACTCAATAAACAGACATCTCTTAGTCTTGAATTTATTCTCTTGAATTTTTTTTCTTCTTGTTGAAAGAAATCTTCTTGAGTCTTAAAAATTGATACTGAGGTTCTTCCTATTATAAGAAGAACTCTACTGAATCTGTAATCGACAGGTCCTCTTCATCTAATATTGTTATGCATTTTTTAAGGAAATGCCCTGAGCTTTTGAAACTTAATACTTAGGTTCCTCATGATGTAAAAAACTCTGTTGAATTTGGGGACAACAAATATTTTCTTTTTATTGAAGCAAAAGATTTTTCCTGGTGATTTGATGCATTTATTTTGATCATGTTTAATTTCTTATTTATTTTGTTCTGGAACAGGTCCCCAGTACTAGTTAAATATATCACTAGTTAACTGTTTGATAAAACAAGGGAGTTCTTACAAGAGAATCAAAGGCATGCGAGATGAGATAGGTTCTTACAATATCTAAGTACCTACTCTAATGAATTTTATTAGAATCTTTTGCTGAGTAACTTACTTTGAGAATTACCTGCAGTTTTTAAGATATTTTACTTTAGAAATGATTCCTATTTATTTTTCATGGTTGGCAAGAGAAAAATTAGTTTACAATTCTTTAAAAATATCCGTTCCAACAAATACAAAGAAAATGCTTTCAGTTTTATATTCACCTGTAAATTAAATGCTACAAGAATGGACACTGATCCACTAAACATTGTACCAACAGCAACAAATCTGCCATCATCCCGAACAGCTAAAGCAGCCAGGCTTTCATCAAATTCTATACACCTTCTTAACATGTTTTCTTCAGGTATCCACTGCTGGAGATAGGATTTTTGTTTTTTAGCTACTCCTATTGGATTTGATATTGTGTATAGTGCACATTTCTTGTCTAGCCCTTCTATCACACCAAATCTGTAAATAGATTACATCAAATTGTAATACAGAATTAACAAAACCAATGTAAATACCACAATTGAGTGTAAAAACTTATTTTAACAGCTCTATTAGTTGATTTTCTATATTAAATACAGTAAAATCCAGTTATAACAATAGCTAAGGGACCTGTCATTTTGCAAATGAGATGTAATACTTTTCATAATGTCATTATTAAAATTAGAACACACAAACAGATTTAGCACTTCTGCAGCTTCATTTATACTCTAAATTTTAATGTTTTATCTGGTGTTAATTTATAGAATAAGCCAGTCTCATCTGCTTTAAATTTTTTGTACAACTTAGGCCAAACTTTGGTTTGCCATTTGGACAAAGACTCTCCAGTACTTTTTCCGGCAACAATATTGTGTCTAGACTTGAAACAATTAATCCAACTTGCTGAATAATCAATATTTAGCTCTTTAGCAAAAAAATTGCAATTATACTTGTCAGTATGGTTTTCCTCCCAGCATAGGGACCAAATATGTTATATTACCTATATAATATAAATATATGATATCTTGTTTTATAGCTAGTTAAAAATTACCTTTTGGACAAACAACTACACTTTACCTCCAAGGGAACTAAAAGATTATTCTGTTCTACATGAACTTTCCAATAAAATATCTAATATCCACTACTGTATTTTTAAATAAATCGTCTAATTTACATTATTTATGTAATTTTTTATTTCATAACAAATTTGAATTAAATTACTTAATAAGATTGTTAACTTGGGTATATTTTGATACATTATTTTCTTACCTACAACGTTTATATAAATATTTTGATCCTTCAGGCTGTTTCCATGTTAGTTTTGTTCTTTCTTTTCCTGTCATACAATCCCACAATACTGCTAAACCATCTTTGGCTATGGTAATCACATAATTGTCATACCTACTAAAATCTATATCATCTATTTCTTTTGTGTGTGCCTTAAGAATAAATAAAGGTTGCATACTAGGAAACTTCCATATTCGTACATCTCCATCTGTACCACCTTAAATGCAATAATCTATTAAATTATTTATTATATAATGACAGATTATATTTACTTACCTGTAGCTAATAAGGTACCATCATGATTAATTTTTACTACCCTCGATAATGGTTCACTGCCATTAAAGTCAGTTTGAACATTTTCTATTGCCTTAACATCAAAATATAACTCTTTTGTCACATTTTTGTTGTCATCTGTAACTTCTTTGTTTTTTGTATTTCTTTGCCTGAGATGAGTATTATTGCCAATATTTTCTACTTCCTCGACTAGTTTAGGATTCAGTTTGTACAATTGACAGTCACTTTCTTGTCCAGCTACCATAAGAGAATATTTTCTATCACTGTAAACAGAGCAGTTCATAACAACATTGCCTCCAGTTTCATGTCTAGTTACTTCTTTTGCTGCAAACCGTGTTCCATCATGAAAAATCTCAAATATTTCCTAAAAAATCATTTTTCTAACTGTTGTTGACCTTATTGAATTTTTACTTACAAAACCATTATGTACACCAGTTTTGGATGTTCCTCCTCCACCACCGACAATTACGTGCCTTGATGTTAACATCTGAAGAGTATATAGTGGAAAATTAACCCTAGCAATTATGCTTTCTTTACTTTTTCTTTTCGACGACATTTTCTTTCACAACTAATACCTACAAACTTACCCTACAACTACAACTTATAGTTAAGTTCCACGTATGTAACCTCAAAAAATACAATGACATAGTTGTCATCTTATCTTACATCTGTTTTACATCTCAGCAATGAAAGGGAAAGTGACACCAAGACGCATGAAAACAAAAAAAAATATTAAACAAACAGTTTATCAACTCAAAAAAATAGATTCTAATCAGTAATCAGTCGGTATTTTACTAAATAAAAAATCATTACGAGATTTTAATTCATAAACGGGACTAATTACACAGCTGAGAACGATGTTTAACGATCCGTCAGGGACGTCATCACCAAGGGACAAGAAAACAAAAAAATATACAAATAAACAATTAAAAACAATGATTGTGGTGTGATTGTATTCAGCTTCCAATATAGATTTTTGTTATATAAGAGTATCATAATTATACATCTATATTTTCCAATGTATTTACTTATTTATGCGTCTATATTCTTAGGCATTTATTTCTAGTAATTCGCGCCATATATTCAAATCTGACGTGACTTTTAGAACCGAACCGAATTTCGGTTACCGAAATGACAGATGGGATGAGTAAGTCAAGTACGGTTATGGTTCTATTTTCCATAGTTTTTTAGTGAGTCTAAAATAATATTTTAGCACTATATAGATATACTATTTAAAAAAATTCAGAATGTTTTCGAAAAAAGAAAAACCAAAGAGGAATCACGCCGGCAAATCATTGTCTCAGGTAAATATGTTAGTAGCGTTAAGGTCGGGTATTTTTGTAAATTATCTCATACTAAAAACAGGATTTATCTTATTTATTAATCAAAAACACTACCACTATGTGGCTTAGTTTTTTTAGTTACATATCATTGTTCGAAAGCAAATTAATTTAGTCACATGATATTTGTTTAGGGATAGAATATATGAGTGTAACATAATATACTCTTCTGTTTGAGATTCTTTGTATTAGAAAGTTATTTTTGTTGTATATACTTAATAATAGATATACTGTATATACGACAAATGCCATTATATTTAATTAAGCAACAATTACGCATATTTACAGTATAATACAATTACCATATTACTGTTAAGTTGGTGAATCACAGTCCAAACTTCCTGTTTTTCATGTTGTTCTTTGTCTCAAGGTTGTTTTATAATCATAATTAGCTTGACAACCCTTAATATGTCTTGGCATGCTCTGTTGCTCTTGTGTTTTTGTTTTTCCAGTTGGTTATATTCACAATCTTCAGTTTACTTGCAATATCTAATCAAATAATGAAAACTATTAAATGATTTTGGCTATTTGTCTATGGCAGTTTCATAAAACAACAGCCCTGTTTAGTACATTTAATATTACACTCTAAACAAAGTACAGTTTTGATTTCCAAAAATTTAACTTTTTTTGGGATGAAATAAGGAAAGGTTTGTGATATTTTTTTGGCAGTAGTTTGTTGGGCAGTTCTAAAGAGATCATAACTATGTAAGTTAATTATCTGGATCGCTTAAACCAAATAAAATAATCTTAATTAAATAAATAGTACTAAAAACACAGGAGAGAAAAATAAAAACCACTTGACCAACTGAAGGTGAGGGGAAGTGATTGTGCAATGCCTGAACTATCTGAATTATATTTCCTCATTTTGGGACACTGTATACATTTATTAGGTATATCTGTCCATGTTTTAGTTCATATTATTTAGTCCATACTTTATTCTATTTTAATTATTTGTTTGTTTTGTAGTATGGTTTATTTGAAGTACCCTCAGACTTTGATACAGGACTAGGAAATGAGGATGATGATGATGATGATGAAGACTTGGAGGCCGAACTGGCCGCCTTGGCTGGAGGAGGTGGAGCATCACAACCAAAGAGGCCTCCGAGAAAAATAATTCCTCAGAGGGAGTTAGATTCAATGGTTTCAGAATCAATGAAGGATGTAGATGATGATGATGTGTCTATTGATGAAAATGATCCTGAGTTGCTTAGTGAATTGAATGATATTGTTGGTAAGTCAAGATTTTGAGTTATTTTAAGAATTGTTTAAATATAGAATTAATATTTTCTCTATCATCTTGATATGTCACATTATTTTCCTTATACTGTTTGTGTACTATTCAAAAATTTTTAATTTTTCAACATATAAATTTTCTCTTATGTAGGTGAAGATCAGCCAGATGAAGACTCATCCCCTTCTACAGAGGCTCCATCAGCTGCCAGTAGTTCTGATATTGTAAATACATTAGTAGAAAGGCTCAAAAACTATGAAATATGTGAAGTGAAAGCAAAAGAATCTGGAGAATCAACAAAAGCTAGAAGATATGGCAGAGCTATTAAGACATTAAAAGACCTTATCAAGAGGGCAAAGTCAGGTTCACCCATAGATTTAAATGACGATAGTATCCCTCCTGATATACATCCTAGTACTGCAGCTCCAGCACGATCTGCTCCAGCAAGACCTGCTCCTGAAGTACCACAAATGCCTACACCTCCCGAATTACTCTCTCCTACAACCACAGATTCACCGCAAGAGCCTCCTACAGAAGACTTGGTTAATATTCAACCGGAAGTACCTGCTTATGACCAAGAAAAGTTGAACATTATTCTACAAGGTCAAAAGCAATACAAGGTAGCTGCATTGAAGGCCAAACATGAAGGAAATGCACAGAAAGCTGTTTTATTTTTAAAAGTTTCCAAACAATTTGATATTGTAATAGCTGCTCTTAAAAGTGGCCAGCCTGTAGACTTGAGTGATATGCCAGGTCCACCAGAGACATTCAGTCTCCCAGAACCTCCTGTTCAAGAAAGCGAAGTTCAACAGGATAGGTAGTACTCTTTTTAAAGTGTATAATCCAAACAAAAAGTAATTTTTATGTTTTTAGTCCAGCAGCTGCCGAAGAGGAACCTGCCGCAGCTCCTCCTGCTTTAATAACTGCCACATCTATTATGGAAGCTCTGCAACAAAGACTGAGCCTTTATAAGGAACAGGAAGCGAAGGCAAAGGAAGAAAATAATTCCAGTAAAGCCAGGAGATATGGAAGGATTATCAAGCAGTTTGAACAGGCTATCAAAGCTAATAAAGCAGGCAAATCATTTGCATATGAAGAACTGCCGACTCCTCCAGGTAAGGATTTAGTGTAGATAACATGAATTGAAGTATAAATAAATGACATTTTAGGTTACGGACCGATTCCTGGGATCAAACCTCCGTCTGCTGAATCTGTTGATCCTACTCCAGCACCACAACCTAGACGGCCAGCTCCACAACCAAGCAGTAGTGGAGAAAGCAAGCCTAGTCTACCTAGTCCCGAAAGTAAACCAACAAGTAAGTTTTTTATTGATTGTTTTATCCTTTAGTAAACTGATTCTAAATAATGTATCGCATCTATAAATGTATAAATTACTATTGCTCGTTGCACAAATTATTTTTTTGTATTCACATAACCTAAAATCATGAAATTAGGCTGTTAAATCAACTACGCTCCCAAATTTTAGGAACAATACCTAAGCAAACTCAAGCAGAGAAGCAAATGGTGATACTCATAGCTAAACAAAAACAGTTCAAACTGGCGGCATTGGAAGCTAAAAAGAGGGGAGAAATGGCACAAGCCAAGGAGTTTTTACGTCAGGCCAAAGGGTTTGATAAGCTGATAGAAGCTTCTATAGCAGGTCTACCGGTGGATTGGTCTTCTATTCCCGTTTCTCCAGAAGCAAAGTCGCAGTTGGACAATGAGTAAGTACAAAAGTTTATTAATTATTTATATTTGTATTATTTAACTTTGTTTATCTTAAAAAACGTGGATTTATTATTTTGGAGACTTATTGAGTTAAAGTTTGTACTGTCAACCATCACATTACATGAATAATGTAATTGTTTTCCAGATTTGTAGGTTTTGGTTTTGAATTATTTCATATGATAAACGTTGGTGTATTGTGTTAAATAATGTTTTACTTTTAGATACGATATAGCCATGTCAACCGAGAGTGACGATTCTGCTGGAATTGATGGCGACCTATTCGCCAGACTGGAAACACAGTTACAAAAACAATTAAAAATGTGCCTTACTACTAGAGATCACAACAAAGCTATTGGTGATGTTCCCGGAATGAATAGGTTCGAAAGGTTAGTCTCATATATATCCTAAAGTTTTACTTATCAGTTTAATATGCACCGCTCCAATTATTTATACATTTATAATTGCCCTATAACTTAAAATGAAAATAATTCTTCAAGAACAAAAACTTCCATATTGGTCTAACCGAAATGGTAACTGTTCCTGTCAGAAATTACTGTCCTTTTTTCTAAATGCTAAAAGTTACAGGTATTGTTTTCAGCGCTGCACAAGTGTTTGGGAAAGAAGTAACAATCCACTGTGTTTAAAGTGTCCGAACTCTTTTGATTAAAATATAGTTAATTATACATTTTCATGTTAAATGATATCACATATGTGGTGAGTTATTTAACCAGACCAAATCATCTACTTGGAAGCTTAAACTTGTGGATCAAGAATTATATTGATCTTTCATCCTGTCACTGTCTAGCAAACCAAAAGAAAACCTCTAGATCACTCAGATTATACTAAATATTTATATAATTTTCTCATCTGGGATGTAAAATGTTTTAATATGTTACTTTAATATAAAGTTGTGATCTTTATCTATTACAATACAGTGATAGAAACTATATTTCTACGGTATTTATCAGTATATTTGTATCGACACTAAAAACGAACTAATTCGTTTGATTACTTTATTAATTTTGAAAATGTAATATGTCTCAGGTTTGCTTTAAACGTCACCAAAGACATGGACGTAGTTCGCGCGGCTCGCAAAGAGGGACGGATTCCTAAATTCCATTACGAAACGAAAGAATTCGCTATCGTCAAGTGCTGTCCCGAAATCGAAGACAACACCATGGAGGTGACCGTTCACAGAGGGCTCAATATCACCACCGACAAAGACATAGATACTTATGTGAAAATGGAGTTTCCTTTTCCGCAGGTAAAAATGTTTCTGAAATTCAATATTTTCTTTTCGTTTCTTAGGGTGTATAGTAAGATTATTATAATTTTATAAGGTGAGGTAACGGGTTGTGTTTAATCACAGTTTCGTGTCGAATTTGGCTACGTCGAGCTTACTACTTCTTTGGAATCCTCATCAGGAATTAGGTCACTTAGGTCAACATCACTTCTACACTCACTAACACTATATAATATTGCATTGCCGCTACAATAGTATCCACGCTGACTTGGTGTTTGGATAGAAATGTTGCGAAGATCCTTGACGGCGGATTGATGGAGGAAATGGACGGTCTTTTATCGTGATTCATGTCTCATCGATGAGGTTAAAACAATAGGGATGTTTTTCGATTTCAATCGATCCTCGGAAATTATTGGCAGCTATGGCTCTGGGATTGTCAAAAAGCATTTAATGTAAGACTCCAGAGAAGAAGCCTAGACCTCGACGTAGCAAAATTCGAGTCATTTATATAATCCATAATGAAATCTTTCCAGGAAACTCCATATAGTGATAGAACTTCAACTATGAAGAACACAAACAACCCGGACTATCAAAAAACTTTTGTTGTACCAATACAAAGGAACTCCAGAGTATGCCAAAGGACTTTCAAAAGGCACAGTTTGAAGTTTGAATTGTTTTCTAAAGGGTGAGTAGAATATATAACATAATATTTCAGATTTACATGCATTTTGTACCCTCAAAACAAATTCTTGCCATTTCTAAGCTCAGTAGAGTCTATTATATTATTTTTTTCTTAAATAACTACTAACTTTTATAATAACTAATGTTAATAGTATACATATACAGTGTTGTACAAAATTATTGGACGACTTTTGAGGAGCCATAACTTTTTTTTAAGTAGATGCTACGCAAATAAATTAGGCTTATTTTAATTTACATATTTTATTTATACAACTTCATAACAATCAACTGTCTGATATTAAAACATGTAAGTTATTGTGATGCATTTGCTTGTGTAACGCCGCTGGTAGAAAATCCGTCGGTTCAAGATAGATAGATAGAATTTATTCATCCACAAAGTTTACACAATTTTTACAAGAAAAAAAAATGTATAAATCTTATCAGACTAGTCAAAATTTTAGTACAAAAGAGTACAATAGATAGCAAAAGTACATGATTAAAATAAAAACAGTTATTACAATAAAATAAATAAGAAATAAAAGTTACAAATACAAGTTACAAATACAAATTTAGAACTATTGTTGCAAAAATGTTAAAAATTTAAAAATCCATCAACACTGTATGTGTTGTCCATTAAAAATGAATACACAGTTTGGCGAAAACCTTTATGTGAAGAATTACTGAGAGTTAATATATTGACTATTTTATTGTAACATTTTATTCCAATATATTCAGGTGCATGTTGGGATACACCTAATCTAGAGAAAGGTTGTCGAAAATTTGATTTACCCCTGGTATCATGTGAGTGAATGTCCTCATTTCTGACAAACTTGAGCTTGTTTTCCTCAATGTGCAATATTAATTGGAAAATTAAAAGGCTAGGTAGTGTTAAAATATTAGCCTTCTTAAATAGTGGCTTGCAACTATCTGAAAATGGAACACCATATATACTTCTTAAAACTTTCTTTTGAGCTATAAATGCCCGTTCAAAATGAGATGAGCAACCCCAAAATATTAAGCCATACTGAAGTACAGACTGGACTAAACTAAAGTAAATCATTCGCAATATATCAAATGAGACAGTTTCTCTTAAATTACGGATTATGTAGCTAGATGTACTTAACTTTGCTGATACATGATTTACATGAGTTTCCCATGTAAGTTTATGATCTAGGGTTACCCCCAAAAATTTCGTTGTAGTATAACTTTTTATTGATTTGCCATCCACATGTAAATAAAAGTCAGAATTTGGAGTTAAGTTTTTTGGTAAGAAACGCATAAAATGTGTTTTTGTTACATTGAGCTTGAGTCCATTATTTTTACAATATGTGCTAAATTCAGCAGACACAACATTGGTATTTTCCACCAGTTGTATGGGTTCACTGTGAGACATGAGAATATTTGTATCATCAGCATACTGAACAATTTTATCTGGCATTGAACAAAACGTGTTTAGGTCACTTACAAATATAATGAAAAATAAAGGCCCAAGTATTGAGCCTTGAGGTACACCCATCGTACATTGAAGTGGCCTGGACGTTACATTTTCCACTGTGACTACTTGAGTTCTATTGCTTAGATAAGATAGAGCCCAATTGTACGGTATACCACGTATTCCAATACCCTGCAATTTTTGTAGTAAGAGTTCACGATCAACTGTATCAAATGCACGACTAAGGTCATAAAAAAGACCCAACACATTTAATTTATCATTTAATGCTTTATAAATAAATTGAAGACAGTCAGAAATAGCAGTATTTGTAGATTTCTTTTTTCTAAACCCGTTTTGAATAGCAGGAAGAATTTTAAAATGTTCTAAATAATCTGTTAATCTATTTGCATAGGCTGCTTCAAATATTTTAGAGAACTGACTTGACACACAAATCAGCCTATAGTTTGCAATATCCGTTGCAGATCCTTTATTTTTAAAAATAGGGATTCCTTTCGATTCCTTTATATCTGGAAATATTCCGCATGTAAATGATTCATTTATGAGATAAGATAGTGGTAAAGCTATATAAGTGGCAACATGTTTCAAAGCTTTTCCATCAATTTCGTCTACCCCTGCAGCTGTTTTAGAAGCAGTTTTTAATACAATAGATATAACTTCTTTTTCAGTGGTTGGTGATAAAAAGAAACTTGAATTGAATTGGTCAATTTGTGTAGTACGGTTTACAACTGATAGTTCATTATTTTTTACAGCATTAATAAAATAATTGTTGATTTGATCAGCTTTATGATAATTTTGTAAGTCACCGTTGTTACTAAAAGATATTAAATTTTGATTTGATTGAGAGTTTTTACCTCTATTTTTATTAATTATTTTCCAACTTTCTTTCATTACATTATTGCTATTTCTAAATTGATTATCATATTGTTCATTTTTATGTTTTTTAACAATTGTTTGATATTCTTGTTTAAATTTCTTGTATCGTTCCGAATACTCTGGGTTATTGAGTTGTTTTCTTAATACATTCATCTGACACAATTGATCATGCAAACCCTTAATATGAGGTGCAAACCACGTTTTTTGTTTTGGTCTGGTAGTTACTCTACGCTTTAAGAAAGTAATATTATAATAATATAAGAAAGTATCATAAAATATTGAAAATTTTTCTTCAAAACTACTAGCCACATATAGATCACTCCAATCAATATTAGCTAAAATATTTTGAAACGTTATTAAGTTGGCATCGCAAAAGTTTCTGGTAAAAACAGTTTGAGGATTTTTTCCAGCAACTTTCATATCAAAAGCACATAATTGATAAGTATGATCTGATAGAAATGTGTCACATACACTTACCTTTTGAACATCTAAATTGGAAAAAAAGTTGTCAATACACGTTGAAGAATTTTTAGTAATTCTAGTAGGTACATTTATATGAAATTTAATGTTGTATTCTAAAAATAAGTTTATTAAAATATTTTTCTGATTGCTATTTTCTAAAAAATTGATATTAAAATCTCCACATATAACGTAAAAATCATTATTGTTATAAATACTCTGCAACAATAGTTCTAACTTCGTAATAAAAGTATTAAAATTCACACTATAAGGAGGTCTGTATATAGTTACAATATATAAATATTTTTTACTTCCATGAACTTTAAATTTTACTCCACATATTTCAACTTTGCTTTCAATACACCATTGACGTAAATTTAGCTGTTCACAACTAAACTTATTATTTAAAAATATGCATACACCTCCACTTTCTTTATCATTTCTTGCGAAATAAGACACTAATTTAAAGTTTTCAATATTGGTTACTTTAAGTTTATCTTCTTTCAACCAGTGTTCACTAAGGCATAAAACATTCACATTATTACTTTGAAGTATCAAATTTATATCGTAAGATTTACGTGCAAGTCCTCCCTGTATATTGCAGTGTAAAATAGGGAAATATAAGTTTGTCGGTTTACTTGCATTAATATTTCGACTTCGGATATTTTGATGAACTATGGAAGTTTGACATTTACTTTGGGTTTGAGAGTCCCTAACGAAGAAATTATTTAAAAATCCTCGGAGCGACGATTATATTGTTGGTATTTCCGGAAATCGAAACGCTTGTAAGCGACAGATCTTGGCCAAGTCGACGGTTTATATATTTCGTCTTTTAATTCGAAGTTGACACCACACATAAAACATTTGTTTTGGTTTTCGTTAGTTGGTAGTTCTCTAATGATAATATCAGCGTCTTTAAACACTTCCTGATCTTTTAGATAATCGAAGATAGTTTCTGTTGTGACACTTCGTTTAACTCTAGAAAGGTAAAGCCAAGCCTTTCTTTGAACTCCTAAGTCGGTAGTTTTATCATTTTCACCGTAGTTCTTTTTTGTTCGTCTAGTTGTCTTCTTTGAGTGGACTAACGTAAAACCATCATTGTCTTGTCCCATATCTTCATTTATATTTACTAAAGTTTGCATTTTATTTAGCTGCACATTACTAAGTTCTGCAGTTGTTGAATTATTATCAGGACTTCTACTACTTTCGGCAACAGTTGGCAACACCGGTGATTGGAATTTATTTGTAGTTTTATAATTTGGAGGTAATTGTTTGATATGACTAAGGTGTTTTTTGTTTGACTCATTTAAAACTGGTTGTTTAACAGGTTCAAGAGCAGACACATATGAACTAGTTTCTATAAATGACAGTACCGAGTAGAGACCAGACAATACTTCGCTCAGTACTCCGTAGATATTCTGGTAAGGAAAATAATCACTTTCTTCGCCACGCTATAGAGTCGTACATAAGTAAGACTAGCTCTTACTCATGTACGCTAGCTCTAGCTCAGCTCGCTAACGACTATGAGGTTAAATTAAGACTCTGAAGATAGTAGTTCCATCTCAACGCTTTGCAAGGGTTTCTCTTTGTATCGACATTTCATTATCATACACTCAGCTCATTGCAGAGTAATCGTCATATACTCTTCTGACTGCCAGCACACGACACTCTTCTATCGAATTTTGGCGATAATTTATAGTTTTAATACTTTGGTCTCTCTGCAAGATCAACCAGGAAACATAATAAGGAATCAAATTGATTCATAATGGTGAACAAGAGATTCCGTAATGAATGCCTATTAGTTAAAAGTTACCATGGTGCTGACATATCGTCATGTCATATTAATTAACAAAAGTATGATCCAGAATAATCACTCCAGAATGTATGTTAAACCTTTAACAAGATCAGAAAAGAACATCTAATAGAAAATAAAGAGAAGAGGCAAAGTTGGATGAATGAAACTGCAACTCATGGAAGAAAGAAGAAAATCAAAGAATAACAAAAGAATGTACAGAAAATTTCAGAAACAAATAAGAACCAAAATACGAAAGGCCAAAGCAAATTGGTTAGAAAAGCAGTTGGAACAAAAACACGATATATTTAATATGCATAAAAAGGTAAAACAAACAGCTTAATCAGCCACATTTTAAAGTTATTTCTAAAAATCATACATCAAAGGATATATAGACAATATGAAGAAAAAATCAGCCGTAGAACAGTTTGGTTTTCGGAATGCAGTGGGTACGAGAGGGGCCCTCTTTAGGGACGTAGAGATGTGAATTGCGATATTTATGTATGTTTCATTGATTACCATAAAGCGTTCGATACAGTAAAACACGAGATGGAGATATTAAAAAATATTGGAATAAACAGCTGTGATCTAAGAATTATTATCAATCTTTACTGGAATAAAATATCGTCTATCCGTACAAAGGCAGGAGAATCCGATGATATCAAAATCAAACCCTTTAACATATACTCTGAGGAAATCTTTCAAGATGTTGAAGTCGGAATTCAAATGAAAAGAGAAAGTATCAATAACATCAGATACGCAGTGGTATTCGCTGACAGTTATGAAGCCCTCTATGAGTTAATTAATAGAACCACATAAGTGAGTTAGAGATATGGACTTTCACTGAACATTAAGAAAACAAAATGTATGATGATCTCTAAGAAGAAACAGCAAATTGAAAGAGTAAAATCATACACCTACCTTGGTACGAACGTCAATGAAAATTTGGACCGTTCCCTAGAAATAAAATGTAGGATAGAGAAAGCAAGATCTGCATTTCAAAAAATGGCTAAGCTAGTCAAATGCCATGATTTATCTATCTATCTATATAATTAGCCTTCTTTGGTCCATCTTTGGACATAGGCCTCCCCAATCCTTTCCATTCTTCTCTATCTGTCGCTACAGTCATCCACCTAGACCCCACGTGCTTCTTGATATCATCTGCCCATCTCATTTGGGGCCTTTCTCTGCTTCGTTTATATTCCCACGGTCTTCTTTTTGTCTTATATTGTGTCCAGCAAATCTCCATTTCAATTTTGCAACTTCTTGTGTAACATCCCTCACTTTTGTTTTCTCTCTTATCCACTCGTTTCTCTTTTTATCCATTAGTCTTATGTTCAACATTTGTCTTTCCATTGCTCTTTGGGTTTTTATAATTTTGTCCATGTTTGCTTTTGTAAATGTCCACGTTTGGGAACCATAAGTGAGAACATGGAGTACGCATTGATTGTATACTTTGGCCTTAGGATGCTGTGGATATCTTTTGTTTTTAAGAATGTAGCTTAGTTTGCCAAATGCCGCCCATGCCAGTCTAACTCGTCTTTTTATCTCTGCTGTTTCGTTTTCTTTTTTCTTTGTTAAGTTTTATAGTTTGACCCAGATATATATATATATATATATATATATATATATATATATATATATATATATATATATATATATATAATGTTCGGAAAGATTTCCGCGGTTAGTACAATAAAAACTAGACTAAACTATTACTAAAATTAATATCAAACTCACCAGTCTTCCGGGTTGAACCGCGTCGATGTCCATTTTGCCAAGCTTTCGGCATCCTCTCTGATGCCTTCCTCAGGGCTTCCGAGGTCTCAGTCTCCCGAGCCCCCAGACACTACTACACTGTTCACTATTCACGGCACTGTCACTACTGTAGTAGTGACAGTGGAACCAAAAAATCACCAATTGTTCTGTGGAACTTCGAAATAAACAAAGAAATGGAATAAAAATATTTAAAACACACACATACGCATACAGACACACACACACATAGACACGGCAAACAGAGAGACCGATAGACAGACAGAGTGAAAGAGACAGACCGACGGACAGAAGAATAGACTGACCGACAGAGAGAGGGAGAGAGAAATACACAGACAGATAGAGAGACCGTCAGAGAGGAAAGGGAGAGAGGTAGACCAACAGACAGACAGATACATAACGACAAACAGACATACAGACCGATGGAGAGAAGAACGGAGATCGACCAACAAAGAAAAAGGGAGAGAGGGGGAACAGACAGAGACAAACACACAGACAGACAACCCGATAGAGACAGGCCGACAGAAAGATCGCTAACAAAAAAGAGAGACAACGACAGACATACCGGTAGACAGAGAGAACAACAAACAGACCGACAGAGATAGGTGAGAGACATACAAACAGACTGACGTACAGATAGAGAGAAAACGATGTAACTTCATGTCTTTTTTTGAGACAATAATGATGTTCCCTAATCCCAGTGGCTTCTCATATAATCTTACGTTTATAAAAACTGATAAGGGGTATATTTTTCCTATTCGCCCCATCTGTTTTCCTCGTTATACATTTTATATTTAGATAAGAACGATACTACACCTCAGTGGGCGATTCAACGCCATTACACAATAATTGATCGCAGAGTTTTTTTGTTACATAATTGTCGCTCAACATTTAATGGTATTACACAATTGGCGCCAAACGTGGTGGCTCGTATACGAGGGTTATGTGAAAAGTAAAAGGGAAATTCAATTTAATTAGTAGACAATCGAAATAGAAGAATAATAATTAAATAGCTAACTATTTTTAGAAGAACAATAGTAAAATAAAACAGACAGTTAATTAATACATGAAATCTGAAGAAATTGGGAACAACATTTAAAGATTATAAACAAAAAGTAACGTTTATTACACAGATCGCGTCACTTATGAAGATTGTACCAAACTTATTGTCTTCGATAGAAGCTCAAAGATACGTAAAGGAACTCCTCTAAGATCAAAAGTGTCTTTTATTGATGAAACTTTTATCTTAATGCGCAATAATGTTTGTTACAATATCATTGTCATTCAATACGTCATCCAATTTAGATCGGGATTGTACTTTTATTCGCCTAGCATCTTTATAGCTTCTCAGAACAGAATTCCGCTAATTGTATGGAGCGCTGTATTGAATAGTATCACATATTGATAATTAATTCTCTCGAGCACACCTCAGAACTAACTTTACAACATTTATTGGACTTAGATGCGCCTGCTGTGGCTCTCCAGTTAGCTGTCCCGGTTGCTGTTCGTTTTTAGGAGGATTACCATGTTTTTTGTAGGTATCTTCTCTAAACTACTTTTATCATTTCAGTTAAATGTGTGTCGTTCTTCAAATCCATCGTGGAAAAATAGTTATTTTATGTTTATTCGTTTATCGTCGATGTTCAAATGAAAATTAAAGTCGAGGATATGATACAGTTCTCTTAAGTTTTAGAATATAACTCGGATTTAATGTAATTCGTGTTTGAATAAAAATCACAACTACTTTAGAGACAGTTTTCACTTTAGTAAGTTTTTTTCTAAGTTATTTATTTGCCAATGACTTCTTTCAATTCTATACGAGTGTTGTTTGACTGTATTCTATCATAACAAAGATTTTTGTTATTTTTGTTCAGTAGTAGATTTGATCACTATTTGATTCCTAAAAATAATGTTTCATGCTCAAATTTTTCTAAAAAGTGTCAAGTTTCAATTTGATTGCAAATCATTTTTATGAGTTTGGGAAGAGGAAATAGTCAAACGAGACTAATTATGCTAAAAATCCCAATTGGTTTAATTTTGCCTGTGCCACGATTTATTTGTGAGCAAGTTCGTTGACTTAGTTGTTGATAGACTTCTATCAACCTTGCGAGCAAGCAGGATTTAGAGCTGGATACGGAACAAATGATCATTTGCAAACCTTTAAGTCGTTAATTGAAAAAACCATTGAATATAATCCCTGATACTTACCCCCTCTGTGGCTCAGTGGTAAGAGCGCCTGCCTTTAAACCTAAAGGTCGTGAGTTCGAATCCCACCTGGGTGGAAATTTTCGTTTATTAAAAAAAAATTAATAAATGAAAATAATTTCTATCCTTGTGTGATCGGTACACACCGGAGGGACCGCAGACGTTCGGATACAATTAGCGTCTCTTAGCAAAGACAATGACGTCGACTTTGCTAAGTATCAAGACAATTACTCTACACACACACACACACTACACCTCAAATTGTAAGATTGGCGAATGGATTTAGTGTCCGTAGTCATTTAAACACAAACAAACAAAAATCCCTGATACTTGTCTTTGCCGACTTTGAAAAAGCATTTGATACGGTCAATCAAAGTGAAATGCTCCAAGCTCTAACACAATGTAGAATAGATCACCGATACATATCCCTCATCAGATACATCTATCAGCATTCTACAGCATGTGTAAGACTTAATGAAGATACTGGAACCTTCCGTATTGAAGGAGTCATTCGGCAAGGAGACAACATGTCTCATAAACTATTTACAACTTTGCTAGAATACGCTTGTAAAACAATAGATTGGAACGAAAAGGGCATCAATATAGATGGAAAATTTTTAAATAACCTTAAATTTGCAGATGATATCGTTCTTATTGAAGATAGCTTTGATCAGGCACAGATAATGCTCCAAGAACTCCATACTGCCACAAAAAGAGTTGGTCTTAAAATAAATTATTCAAAAACACAATTTATGACAAATTTAGTCCACAACAAAAACATCTCAGTAGAAGACAAAGATATTGAGCCAGTTGATTCCTATAAATACTTTGGCCATGATATCAGAATAAGTCGAGACAACCAAACAATCGAGCTGAAAAGAAGAATAAACCTCGCTTAGGCTGCATTTGGAAAGATGAAGGATATTTTTAGGTCTAAGATTCCAATGTGTCTAAAAAGAAAAGTATTTAATCAGTGTATTTTGCCAGTGTTGACCTACGGCGCAGAAACTCTTAACACTCACAAGAACAACAGTGAGTAAACTACAAGTTGCGGAAAGGGCAATGGAGAGAATAATGTTAGGGATTTCTCTACGTGATAGAATACCCAATGCTACTTTACGCAAAAGATCAGGAGTAGCAGACGTTAGTGAAAGGATAACAACACTAAAGTGGAACTGGGCAGGTCATGTAGCAAGATCAGTTGATGAACGATGGACAAAAAGAATTTTGGAATGGAGACCTCCAATACAAGCTAACAGAAATAAAGGTTGACCCCCAACGAGATAGACAGTGACATAAAAAGAGTGACTACAAATTGGATTCAGATGGCGCAAAATCGGACTAAGTGGAAAAGCATGCAAAAGGCCTATGTTCAGCAGTGGACGTTAGAGGCTAGTGGATGATGATGATGAAGTTCGTTGTCTTGATAGAAAAGTATTTTTGTGAGACAAATCTTTCTTCTTCAAATCAGTGTTGATACCGTCTAATAGAGCTGTATTGTCATTTCTCCGATGAGGATTCTATAATGTTCCACATATTATCGGAGCTTTCGTTCCAATTTCTTCAAGCTATATACAACTCTAGCTGAAAGAGTTGGGAATAGTTGAATTCCTTATCCAAGGAATACCTAACAAGGCGTGAGTAACTACGAACAAATTTGGATATGTCCCAATCCAATACCAGAAAAAATGGCCGAGGAAAATCCACTAAATTGGAAGGAAACACCTGTCTGCAAAGAAGTGAAATACTGTCCGCTGTCACTGAATGATAAATTCGGAACTAGGAGAAAGAAAAGAAGAACAGGAGCGTTAAGAACCCGAAATTGACTCGTCTAGCCGTAAGGGGATTTCAGGATTAAGTTGTCTGTACTGAACTTTAGATTTAACTAGAAATCCAACTTTGGTTACGGGGCTGTGTATAGTGTGGAGGAGGAAGTCCCATTGCCTAAACAATGAAAATACGAGTTTTAGATGGGCAATGAAGTCATGACGCGATTTATGTATTACCTTTCCACCCAATCAGCTGATTTTGGCCTCTTCAGTAGGCCTTTCCCCATTTTCTTTACTGCTTCTTAGTTTCCGGTGTAGAAATGAATCTATATTCCAACACGAAAGTGCATTGTTTTGGTCCACGAGGATTACTTTTGTAGCAAAACAAGCTGTTGCTCTCACAATCTTATCAAGATTATCATATGATATAGATTATCAAGAGGATTCTTCCTCATTAATCGTTAACCTCTGAAGCAGATATTCAGTTTTAAATCTCATTTGCAATTCAAAAACACACTAGCTTTATTGTCCAAGCACAATATAACACATATTATGCTCTAATATTATGGAAAAGTAGATTCTGCGTTTGGGACGGCAATAATTCAGACGATCAAGGAAAACAACGCTTAGACAATTAAGAACGTTGTTTGCAATTGTTTATTGTTAAATCGTAAAAGATAAGAGTTTTGTAACGCAAAACGTGGTATATTGACATAGTACGCGACGTTTTCTCATAAAATGTGACGGATGACGTGAAACTTGACATTTTACATGTCATTTGGCATGAGATGCTTTACGAAACGTAATGTTCGACGTGCGTAAAAGTTAAATGTCACATGTCACAAAAACATTAAAAATGTCCATAAAATCATTCTGGTAAATCGTAAATTGAATTTTCGTGGAGTATTAGACAATATGAAGATATCATAGGATATATTGTGTCGATCAAAGAAAACAACGCTTAGACGATTGAAGTCTTTGTTTTCAACTGTTTCTGCTCGCTAAATAAAAGTTTTTAACGTCGGTTTTTGACAGTGTTTGATTTCTGGATTCATCACTTCGTTCTGAAGTCAAATTTGTAGTTAATTGCAAATTATTACCGTGCTTCTAAGAAGAAATTATGAAAAAAAGACCACAAATGAAGAAGAAAAGTGCTCGCTCACCTTTGTCATCTCAACGATGATAAAAGTACCTACATGAATTGCCTCTGCATCCAGAGTATACTAATTCTTAGCTCCAGCAGCTAATTCCTGTTTGCAAATATCAAAAGCATACTCCCGGGAAAGATTTGGATAAATAAAGAAATTTAAATACGGAAACTGAGACAAACTTTACAGATAAACATTGTATCACCCTAAAAGGAGACCATTTGAGGAATAAGCTCCAATTTAAATCAGTTAGACCTGGGAATTATCAACGAAGCATTATATTTTCATTATTTCAGTTGTAACTTAAAAATAGAGAACTTTATCATATTCTGACAATGGTAAGAATTAGTTTTACACGACCATATACTTCATGCTCTCCCTTTCGCTTACTCTATTTCAAAAATTATTTTTACACAAATTTTAATTCCTGATTGTACGTTCTTATTTTAGCGGCTTCTTCAGGAGCGATGCCCTCGTTGGAACGGTAAATCTGAAACTACAACCTCTCGAAACGCAGTGTGAGATCCACGACACCTTTGATGTAAGTATATAATCGATGTGCTCCGAATTAGATCATGTTATAGTAAGTTTTCTATTAACTGAATAGTTCAATCGAATACTGGAACTTGTCTTTCAAAGTGTAGATCGTTTAATTATCAATATAAACATAGTTCCATATGCTGGGGATTAATATAACCGCTTTTTGAAATTTTCTGTTGATTAGTCTTTAAGCACTATGAGACTCCCGAATCTCCAAGTCGTCACATTAGTATTCTGTGTAAGAAGGTCCTAGATTGGCAGTTATTTTATTAAAAAAAATCAATCGCTTGATTTAAGCACCATTCATCATGTGAGCACCGGTTTAACATTTGAAGAGTGCGCTCCGATTGAGAAATCGTGACCTTCAGACGGAAAAACCGAAATTGACCAAATCATTAGATCAAAAAGAAAGACTACATTGGTTTAGTCACCTGGCGAGAACGATGGACCAAGGGCTCTTTGCTGGTAGGCGATGGGAAGAATAGAAAGAAAAATCATGAAAAGATGACAATATTTAAGGCGTGTAAAAATTTACAAAAAATGGGGATAAGAAATTGAAGAATAACGTGAACAGAAGCAATAGAAACTGATACTTTCGGGAGCAGTGGTCAAAAATCAGAGGGAAAGAAAAAAAAGTATAAAACAATCGTCTTGATGATCTGTTTGTATTTCACTGACTATACTAAACTTATCTACATTTCTTAAGTTTGCATAAAACAACTCTTTGCAATATTCCTCACATGTCTACATTAATTATATAGCAAAATTTTATTACATTGACAATTGGTAAGCACATTTCTATTTGATTTTTATATAATAACATTGTCTCTAGTGAAAAATCTTTATGGACAATTGTTTTTTAACTTCTTGGGCTAATTTTATTAAATAGCTCTTTCTTGCATTTCCCCGATGCCTTATTGTTTACCGTACATTAATTATATAGCACATTTCAATGCTTTTACAATCGCTGAGCACATGTTTGTATTGTTTTTATATGATACTCGTATCATTGTCTCTAGTGAAAAATCTGTATGGAAAATTGTTTTTTTTTTTTAGTTCGTGGGCCAATTTTATTAAATAGCTCTTTCTTGTATTTGCCCAATGCCTTGTTAATTCTCTCACGTTAATTATATAGTACATTACAATACATCTACAATTGCTGGGTACATTTATATCTTGTTTTTTGTATGGTCACGTCATCGCCAAAAACTGCAAAAGGCTCACCTAAGGGAGAGCGCCCACCAAACTGGCGTGGCAAGTAGCACGCGTCTAGCATGTTACTTAAATGTAACCAATGAAAACGAATGATTCAGCGCTCACCAAAATGATAGTGACGTCATTCTAATAATTTGTTTGATTTGGTTACATTTAAAAATAACATGCTAGATGCGTGCTACTTGCCACGCCAGTTTGGTGGGCGCTCTCACTAACATTACTTTTATAAATCTCGTAGCCTTGGCACTAGGCAAATTGTAAACAATGCTGTTCGATTACTTTCTACTTGGACTAATTTTTAAAATTCTATATTTTGTTTATCGTTTTAGCTATTGGAAGGTCGAAAGAAAGTGGGAGGCAAGCTGGAGATTCAAGTGAAGTTGAGAACACCAATTCAAACTCAACAAGTGGAGCAGATTCAAGAGAGGTGGTTGGTGGTCGACCAGTAATCGCTTATTGTTGATATTTAGAGTTGCTATGAAATTATTTATCCTATTATATAATGTATAGCTTTAACTTTTATATGTGGTGTACACACGATCAAAGAATTCGATAGTATGATTGCACAAATGAATTGCATTAAGTTAAAGGAGAAATTAGTAACAACCTTATATTTGTCAACTACTTTAGAAAGTCACGAATTTTTCAAAAGCATGAAACTACATTTAAAACAAATCCTGAAATTGTTCAACTTTATCTCAAACAAATGTCTTCTTTTCTATCTGCTCCCCAGTATTCACACATTATTCCTACTGTATTTATTTAGCACGTTTCAATCAATTTATATTTGTTAGAACACATTTTTAGCTTGTTTTTGATAATAACATTGTCTCTAGTGCGAAATTAGCTTAAACAGTTGTATTTTTAAGTTTTCGGTAAATTTTTTATAGTTCTTTCCTGTGTTTGCCCTAGGCCTTATAATTTGCTGTATATTAATTATACACAAAATTTCAATAAAATCACACTGACTGAGTCCATTTTTATCTTGTTTTTATATGATAACACCGTCTCAAGTGACAAGTGCGGACCATTTTTAACAGCCCACAAAATCCTTTTTGGAGCTGGTATTTAAATTCAGAAAAAGCACAAAAATCAATTCTTTGATGTGTTATGTTCATGCATTTTAAAATGTAATGTTTATGCTAAAATGATTTTACTATATTGAGATTTAAAATCAAAATATTTTAAGCCATTTGTTGTTTGATTTAAAATTAAATCCAAAAAAGTTCCAGGGTAAAACCATTAAAACCAGACAATTTTTCGATTGCAAAATTGTCTGATTGTCTAGTATCAGTAGAGCAGAAACTGAAAATAGTAGTCTTTAAACTAGTAATTAAAATTCTTCTTTTCTATTTTTCCAAATTTTTCGCAGATAGCAGACGGAAAAGTTTTAGTCCCTAAAATGTTCTGAAGATACAAAATTATAAAAATTGTCACATTTTGAGAGAATTTTAAAGTTTAAATTTGACGGACTAACACTCTTTTCCGTTTCTGCTTTCCTGTTACAAAATCCGAAAAATTTTCAGATTTTGATTGACTATTGTCGTTTCTGCTCTCCTGATACAAAATCCGAAAAATTGCCAGATTTTGAGAATCAACAATTTTTTAGGTTTTTTATCAGGAGAGCTGAAACGGAAAGGGGTTGGTCAAGGAAATGTCAAAAATTTTTCAAAATCTGACAATTTTTAGGATTTTGTATCAGGAAAGCTGAAACGAAAATGAAGACTTCAAAATTCGACACATTTTTGGATTTTGTTGTAGATAGCAAAACCGTAGGGGGATAACCGAATTCATGAGACTCAAAATCTTGTTTAAAACATAAGGATTTTAAAATAAGGACTCTGCCTTTTTACATACGAGGGTACTACCAAGAATTTAATTAGTTTTGGCAGTAATACTTATTACTAATACTTACACACTAGGTGTAAAAAAATAAAACAACCATAAAACAAGAATTTTTTATTTTCAGATCATATAGCTATTAACTACATATTGCAACCGTAGTACCAACTATACATCTAAGTGGTATTGTAAATTTGAATGTGAAACTATATTCGAAATATTATAGACTCAATGAGATCAGCTACACCATACCTGTTAATAAGTCTTGATTATTTAAAAACCTAATAAAAATATGAAATAATACTCATTCAATACATACTGAATCTAATAAAACAAACGATATTCTAAAAGCAAACCGATCAGTTACATATTTTGTCTTATCAGTACAGTTCTTGTCTTACAATGGAAATGCAGATGGTATAATATCTTCACTTATCGCAACTGCATTTACAAATTGCTAAGTAATGATAAAAAAACTAGATTTTTGTTAAGAATTGGTTAATACATTCAGAGGAATTTAAAATTAAAAATACTTTATTTAGAGTAACAATCTGCACTGTTCTCAAGGTAATTAAACCTGCACATAAAAGAAGCACTTTTAACTTATGCATAATATCCAAAAAGGTACTAAATGTAAGCAGTTAATATACAAAGTGACTACTGGACCGGAAATGGCGTTACAACACGAATAAATGACACTTTTATAACAAGAAAAAGAGACTTTTGGTGGCTGAAAGAGTAAATGATAAATGAGTGGAGCTTCTAGCACGTCACAAAGTGGCAGAGAAGAGGCTTGGATGCAAACGCAGCAACCAAAATTAGGAATTTTCAATAATAGTGTTCAAATAACTAAATTATCAACGACTACAGATTTCTCGCATGTCAGAGGGTGTTGTTAAGGGGGTAGAACGAACCTTGTATGCTCAATGGATAGCCAGTATTAAGAATTTTTGATAGTAGTGCCTGAAGAAATACATAACTATGCATGTAGGCTTAGAATAGTGCAGACGATAGTGATAAGGGGACAGAAAGGGAGTTGGATACTCAGGGAATAACCAAAATGAAGAATTTTTGGTGGTAGCGCCTGAAGAAAGATATAATTACTGGCTGTAGTTTCAAGAAAACTAGACAGTCGTGATCCACCTGGTAGAAAGACACTTGGATCCTCAAGAGTAGCAAAAATTTAGAATTTTCGGTGGAAGTACCTAAAAAATTAAATAATCAAAGACTAGGGGCTTCTAAGAGTGCAGAGAGGTGGTAGAAAGAGATTTATTTGGTCAGAGAGTAACTATAATTAAGATTGTTCGGTGATAACGCCGATATTATTAAGAATTTTCAATAGTAATGCCTAAAAAAGTAAATAATTAGTGAATGTAGGCTGCGAATAGGTTACAAATTAGTACAAAAACCAACTCAAATAAAAAAACCTAATTTTTTAACAAACATTTTACATTACTCACGCTCATACTTTGCAAAAATCATCCGCATTCCTATGAAAAGTAACTTCTACTACGCCTAATACTTCTGTAAAGTCCTCAGAACGTATAAAAATTTAGTTTTCCATCTATTTGACTTTGTCATAGGACTGCGAAAGACTTTTTGATCATAATCTACACTTAAAGCAATCTCCAGACCATTAGTACTTATATAAATATTCAAAATATTCTTCTCACAAATTTAATCTTATCTAAACATTTGTATGTAGGATGATTCGATTGAAACATATTGAGAAAATTGTAGTTTTCACTTTCATACACACATTTCAGTCCATCTTCACTTTAGTTAAGACTTTACCCGGTTATTTCGTTCAGGTTCGGTCTAGTTGTGCCCTAACTAATGTCGGCAATGTACAGCTCGTTCTAGGTACTTAGAAAGAACCATTACATAAAACTAAAAGGAGATGGACAGTTATAGATTAAAAGTTAAGGAATAAAATAGTGAAAAACCACTTTTTATGGTCCTTCGAATCGGTTCTGAAAATCACGACGAAGAAGGTAGTTGGAAGATCAATTCTAACCTATTTATAATCAAGTTTTAACCTTATATCGCATTCGATTTGAGTATAATGTTGTTTTTATCTCTCAAACAAATGTTTTTCATAAATTTGTTGAATAACTAAAATTGAAATCACTTAAAAAGGCGTTAGTTTACATTGACATACTTTTTAGTCTTTATTAACGAGATGATGATAACCTCCAACGAATTTGATTGTAAAACAACAATACATTTCTTCTTATTTGACTGTTTCCTAATATGTTAATGTAAAACTACAACTTTCGTTCTCGAATCGTCCTATATATTGAGTGAAATCATTTCCCCAATTGGTGATTAAGGTTAAGAAAGGTAAGTAGTATAAAAGTCTAACCTTGGACGCTAGCTTTGCGTTTCAAAGTCGTCTTGCGTAAATGTATCTTCAATCAATAAAAACATTGATCGATAAGAATGTTAATGTCATATAGCTACATTAAAAGAAGTGATATATATTTAATTATGACAATTTATTTGTGTCAAAACAGACAACTAAAATAATATTTTGACTGGTTTTCTGTGTTTATAAAACTTTTTATTTTATCTTCAACGACAAAAAAGACCGAAAGAGTTAGGGAAATTTAACATTTAGATCAACTATACATTAAAAACTCGTTATTTTCTACTTAAAATATAATTAATTTTTATCTTTATCATAAAAACACGTCGAAAACAACTTCATTTTAGAATAACAACTGGTTTTATCGAAAGTATTAAAAACATTTACGACATAGTCATTTTAATTATCGTATTTAAGTATACGTGTATTTATATGCAAAATATACCATAAAAAAACAAACAGAAAGGAATGAATGAAACTTCTTGTCTACTATCTGGACATTGACCTGCGAAACAAGACAGACATACAATCAGTATATTTATAACTTTGGTATAATTGTAGTTACCACATATTTCAATCATTTTCAAGCTTGACGAACAGATGGCGCCTCTAATTACAAGTTTACTTCATTTGTCACAATTTACCGCGTTTTCGCAGTGAATCAAAATTAATGCCTCGACCATTCAGAGAGTTGTTCAGATCAATAAACTGGGGTTTTTGAGTAGCTCAACGAATCTAGCAGATGAATTTTACACATGAATTTTAATTGAAATTGTTTTAGTATCAACCGCATTCTCCAAATCTAGCTTCAAATGATTACTGCATTTTCTAACCTAAAAGAATACTTAAAGGAACGAAATTTTAGTCATTTGAGACTAAAGGTAAGAAAAACAAAAAACGAATATAAACACAGCTACTTACTCATTTAAATACAACAATTACAACGACCAGTGCATTTTTTCTACATTTTGATAATTGTACTTTGAGGTACAGGTACAAAAAACTTAATTTTTTGCCAATTATAATTTCGAAAAGATTCATATATATACAAGGACTACACTCAATAACCAAAATAGATTTTTAACTACACAGAAAAAAGAAAACAGCAAATTTTTTTAACTAGAAACAATTTTTTAGTACACAGAGAAGAAATATTGAGATTTCTACACATATATCTGTGTAATTCTTTGCCGAGTTTAGAATATAACTCACGCCTAAGGTGTTGGAAGAAAATTGAGTCATACAACATGACTATGACGTCATGCTGTCAATTTTTTGAGGTTAGGTCAAGGTATTGACGCTAAAAATGTTGATTAGTTCACAAATAGTATTTTTTAAGGGTTTGTTGAACCTTTACTTATTTATCAGAAATAATTTTACATTAAAGTCAAGCTGTATATTTTGTTGCCAGAAGACAAAGTTGGTCTTGTGGCATCAAAATTTGGACCTAACCTCAAATATTTGTGTATAACGTCACAACTTAAGTGACATATTGTTCAAAACATCGTTGGATTATACAAAAAACTACACAGAAAATAATACTCTACATTTATTAGTACGTCATCACTGGCCTATACTTATCCTACGCTAAGAAAGAAAAAAGAGTTGTACAACAATCCGTGAAAAGTGTACAATCGATAAAAAAACTGTGGACACTATCGTATCTAATCTTTGATAATACCTTAAAACTAAAATCTTACAAGCTAGGTTGTTAATGTAATTTGTACTTTTGCTCTCACCAAAAGATTTTTATGCTCACACAATTTTTTTAAAGAAATTGTGCTGATACACCGCGAGGGCGCCGTTATTTCGGAGCCTGCCAAAAATTAAAGGCCCGCTCCATCTGCTGTAAGTCTGTAAAGAAAAATAAATGTTTTTTCAGTTTTTGATATCTGTTATAAAAAAGTGAAAATTGTCAAAAAATTGTTATAAAGAACGAATTGAAAATGGCGAAAATAAAACTAAAATGGCTGGGCAATTGGTAAAATAGATTAAAGGTAATTCCAAAAATCAAGGTAATTTCTGTTTGGAGGGTGACCCTCAGGTGCTTTCTAACGAAATAAATCAATTTATGGCAAATGCAGCGCCAGAAGCTGTAAAGAAAATAAAGCATGTAAAATTTTTTTAGATTAATATTGAACAAACCAATCATTGCGTGTTTTTAACTCCCTTTTCAGAGAAAGAAATAAGTCAGATAATAAATAACTTAAAAAACAAACATAGCTCTGGTTTAGAGATTTCTCATTCTTTTATAGTTAATGCTTGTGTCAAATGGTTTCAAATACCAGAAGCTGCGAACATAATTCATGCGGCACAAATCAGAGAAACCTATCGTATGATGGTCGCCAACCTTCGGTAGAAGACGGCGCATAAAGAAGAAGAAGCTTGTGTCAACCAACATGTGTCTTCCACCAACACTTTACACGATATTAACAGCCACTTCCCCATCTCTATACGAATGACTTGTACTTTATGTAAATGACACAGCTCCTCGTAACAACATTACGTGACAGATTTCATAGAAAGAAGCGTTCAAAGTTACCATCGTATTGATGGATAGTGATGCACAAAAACGTTACTTCATACATACTTAAGAGATTAATAAAAACAATATGTATTTTTAGAAGATATTTTTTTTCATCTTTGTTTTCTGACTTCTTTCTTTGTGTATCTTCATATATGTCCTAATGGTGGTTTTTGATATTAGATTTCGGAGATACCTTATCCATCTTTAAATTTAAAGTGATAAATACCAATAAACTATATTTAAAAGATACTTACGGGTGGTTTTTAGTACGATTCATCTTCGTCCATGATGAAATCGCTTCCAAAACCAGAATCAACAGTGTATCTTGGGCTGTAACATAAAAATGAATTACTTAAAGTTTTTTATTGTAATATTCTTCAAAATCATTGAAGTACCAAATGGGTCAATCCAAGGGAGGATGAGGAATATGAAGTAATACATAGAGGATTAGACTACGAAAATAAAAATGATACTGAACGGAGATAAATTCAGCAGCGAAAACGGTCAATAAGAATAGGAGGTTGGAATGTATCTATTATAACCTATAAATAGCAAGAAACTATTACGGAACTAAAACAGTGGAAATGGATATAGCAGTACTTACTTCAATAAAGAAGGAGAAAGGGAATGAAACAATAAAAGAAGTCCCCAATGACAAAATTAACTCCCTCACGAGTATAAATTTTCCCACTAACCTGAATAGAAAGATTCTTATTTATTTCATGCGTAATTATATAGGCGCAACCGAGATCAAAAGAAAGAGTAATTTGTTTATTATAAACAGACTTCAAAATGTTAAGATTATCAATCTCAGAAAAAATATTACTCAGAGTTATTACAAGAAAAAGATATTTATATAAAACAAGGCCTTATCTTCGGGCTTACTAGAATTACTAGAATTAAAACAAATATTTAAGAAATGCTTATTTGATAGAAAAATACCGAAGAAATGGAAAATGGTTTACTTAAGCTCATATATAATAAAGAAAACAAAAAAGTCCCACCTTCTGTGGATGGGTTATATAGGAAAATCATCAAGAAAAGGCTGGAGGAACATATACAGACTTCAGAAGAATAGAGTGGTCATGTACTGATAATTACATTTTTCATAAAACAGCTCACAGAAAAAAGCAACTGCATTCAACGCCGAATTACACATTGTATTCTTGGACCTCTGAAAAGCCTATGATAATGTCCCAGTCAACAACTTGTGGGAAGCAATGGAAAATCACTGAGTAGATAACACCTACACAAATGTCGTAAAATCACTTTACAAAGACAGTGATGAAATAGAAAAACGAAAATGACTTTGGTATGGACATATGCGAAGGATAGATGAGACAAAAGTAACGCTAAGAACTTGGAAATGGAAACCAATCAAAAGGAGGAAAAGAAAGCGTCCTAAATTACAATGGAAAGAACAAATAAAAAAGGAAATCAAAAAAAGACCTTACTGAAGAACTTAGGTATATATTACGAGCCTATTATATTCCATTTTGCAGTTTAAGTCGATTACGATAAACAAATTATACTCTGTATGTTTTTATAAGTTCCCATATGGCATTTTTATTAATATTTATTAAAAACATTACCCTTATGCTTTTTTATTTTCGACAATAAAAAAAATTTTACTAAACCCTGGTTATGCATTCACTTATGTCAACATACGTTGATTTTTTCATAATTACGTTACATCCCGAGGTATCTATGGAAAAATGACATCAAAACAATAATATTCTCAGCTAATGTCAAATGTATTTCTAGATTTTTTTTTATAAATTTATGAGTTTCTTAAATGTATATTGTCATGTCTTTATTACGTTTTGGTCCGATCAAATAACCTGGTTTTGTTTACGCATACAACACGCCCATGGTATATTTTATTGTTTTTCTCAGTTATCAGACAATAACATTTTACATTCAATAAACGTGATTACATTGAAAAACAATGAGTTATATTATCACCTCAGGTGATTATCTCACTTTGAACAATACACTGTTTTATCTATAAAAACAAGTAAAAATGTAAAAAAACGTGTACAAAAAGAAACTTTGTACTTAGATAAACGAATTTCTAAATTAACGTTGCAAATTCGATTTGTTTGTTTTTACCTTGCGGATTTAGAGGTCAGTTACTTTTTAACTGTTTAATATGTAGGAGGAGTCAGTCTTGGGTGAAGAGAAAGCCTTGCAAGACAATCTACGTCATTACTGCATATAAATTAATATTAATTATATAAAAATTGGTTATCGCTAGGAAAGAATGATAATTTTTGTAACATTTATAAATGCGGCATGATATTATACTCTTTTTTATTAGAGAAATATTCCGAATCCATCCAATTAATTGATATTATAAATGCAGATATTTTTATTTTTATGACAGGTACCTATTATTAACTAAAAAAGTCTTAATTTTCCGTGTAAAATTCTGTGTAAGCGAGACATTCACATTTCGATTTGAAGTCACACTTAGTAGGACTACTAATTGGATAGTTGGCAACTATCTAGTTTGATATCCAACTTGATATCAAACTAGCGCTCCAACTTCAGTCCTAGTCTGTTTTCACGGTGGTATACATCGTTCAACCAAAAGATGTATCGAGTAAAGTTTAAGCAAAATATAATTAAAAGGAAGCATTGTGCTTTTTAGCGTCATCATTTAAAAATAAGGCAAACAATGTTGGATGAAGAAATTGTTCGTTGATCGTTTGAACTATTTTGACACGAAGTTGCTCAATGTCATTGATGAGGATGGTTACCAGAAACCATTATGTTGACAGAACGCTATATTGGCAGTATTTTCGCACTTCAACATTACGTTCAGCAGGTGTTGTTGATCTATTTTCCGCGCATTTCGTTCTTCGCACTCCCGGCAATAGTTCCCGAGGTACTTTAAAATGCCCTCTCGTCGCCGAATCTATGCCGAACGCCTACCTGCTATACCAGACCCTCCTCTGTCATCCAGCGATCCGGAACCGGAATGGCCGCTTTAAGGCCGGCATCGCTTCCGAAGCACTACCTCCATTCATTAATTCTCCATTCATCCACATCCACACCCCATTCATCTGCAAGGAGACTCCCTGTCTCGTTCCAGGTAGCCCGTAGAAGACCCCCATCGCTCCTAGTATGGCATCACTCCTAGACGGGCATTTCCTCCTTCCTCACAGTCTGACTCACGCAGTCTAACTCATACAGTCTGACCCACTTTTCTAACTTCAACATCCAGCATATTTTCCTCTTCAGTCATTCTCTCAATCATTTCTCTCAATGAAACAAAATTCACATATTATGTCTCTCTTTCCATTCTGTTCCTTTTTACTAACCATCTGTTGCACTCCAACATTGTATGTGCCACAGTGTCTGAGTGTCTACAGTATAGGCATTCATCTGTTCGAACCTAGAGAGGCCTAAAACATCCGTGTACTCGTTTTGCATACTAGGATCCCACAAATAGAGAGTATCTCTGTAAATATTAATAAAACCAGAAATTCCTTCACTGTTCAATATGGAAGGCCTGCAGTAAGTACCTAAGGTCAAGCGCTGACTGAGAAAAGTTTTGATCCGATTTCTGACCCCTCCATTACGCACCCACTCCGTCGCCAGTCGGAAGTTGGACCTTTGAATCTTCCTTTCAGATTCCGATTCATACAACTAACTTTCCAACAATCCAGCACGCCCACTTATGGTCCGATATCGGAAGTTGGACCACAAGACCACGGAACGTTTAACATAATATAATAAACATTTTAACATGAATTTCAAACCACTTAAATCCTTCAATGTTCAACTCAGCTATTTTAGAACACTCTTGAACAGTTACTAAAATATTAATCAAGTACTCAAAGCAGCATTGTAGCAGGACTTGCAGGTACATTTTTTCTCAACTGGCTTTTTAGAGCCATACACCTTTTGGTTCTTAGTTTTTGCAATTCTTGTCGTTCGAATCTCCAGTTTGAGGATTCCTCACTGAAATTACTCTTTATACACCTCCTTTGTCTTCCTCTTTTCCTTCATTCTTTGGTCTTTCAACTGGTACCCATTTTATTATTCGCTATGGGAGTTGTCTACTCTACAAACATCAACCAATAAGTTCTTTGTACTCAATTTCTTCAATAATATTTCTTTAGAGCCTGATATTTTGTAGTAGGGTACATTTCTTCTAGGGAGTTCCTCTGAATAAAGTTCCCTTTACTTGTTTACTAAAATAGGATGTATGTTGGTTTTGTTTGACATATCTGTCTAAAGAGATTTTGTTACCTTTAATGCTTCACCTGATTTTGATCCTCTAATATAGCAGAAGTCAATTTCTTTGCATTTTACATTATTCAAGCAAAAATCAAACTAATCAATTTAGACATAATAAAAAAAAAAATTGAGAATATAACAGAAATAAAACATGTCTTTATCAACTTATGCCTTCCTATTTCTTCATATGACATTTGATTTTAACAATTCATTAAAAACAAAATATTGGACTTACTTGATGGCTCTGCAGGTAAAAAACACAATTCTCTTCAGTTTCTTATTGTAGAAGAAGTAATTAAAGCTCCATAAACAGCCATCTTCGCCGAAAGGGTCGCAAATGAGGTCTGGCTCGTAAGAATAAATATCACAATTCTCCAAAGAGATTTCGTCATCGATCGCCGCCCACATGGATGGTCCTAGCAGACGGTAGTGTTCTCCGACTGTCGCGGCTAGGTTCGTATCGATGGCGTTTGTCACCCATTGTCTTGAAGGTTCTTTACTGAATTCGTGACTCTGCAATATAAAAAATTTTACTAAAAAAGATTCCCTTCAAAATGACACCCATATGAGAACAATTAAAAGTTTTGGTCTTTTTACCCTATTATTGAATGTTTTTTAAGTATTAATTGTGTAATTCGTGATGGTTCCTATGACGTTTGTAACCAGCCACTTATCCAAGGCTGTTTTCTCAATAAATACCCTTTCAATTTGGTTTCTCCTGTTATAAAACTGATGATGACAATGATGCTGAAACGCATCCTTAATTTTATTTAAAAAATGTTTTACAATTTGTGGATTCACTTGGAGATTAGTAATAGTTATTATCTCCCAAACCACGTTAGAGATTTTGACCACTCAAGTTTTATTACAGGACTCTGTTTCATCAGAAATAATGGCTTAAGAGGAGAAAAAAATCCACAAAACAATTTTGACCAATCATAATTAAGGGTACATAAAAAAACAGACCAGTTAAGAATATCCGAAGGCTGTCTGGCAATGAGAAGCCTATGTTCAAAGTGTTTCTGATCAACTGGTATTCGCAGTACATCAGAATCAGAAACAAATAATCATTGATGATTCAACACTTCAACAGGAGTTTTTGCATTCAACATGTGACAATGAATAAAGCCAATTCACCCCGAAACCAAATCTGCAGTCAGTTAAATGGACATCAACATGTGAAAGTCCTCAAAAGTGATAACAGATGCAACACATCAGCTGATATAGTTTTGGCTTTGGATGCAATGGGCAAGTTATGTTGTTTATGTATTACCTTGAAAAAGAAGAAACTCTTGATGTCAAATAGTAAAAATTATTGATGTATTTGAAGAAAGAAATGAAGCAAATGAAGAAAAACAATTGTTTTTTAACCAGTACAATGCACAGGAATTAATCTTTAGATACATCAAATGAGCTTTATGTGTGAGCTCTGACTAGTTGTTGTTTTTGAATGTAGTATATAAATCTGATACTTGTCTGAGGTGCCACAATTGTTTAAATATTTGTGACTGTAAAGCTAAATTTTGGAACAATTAATTTACTCAACGCAAATTGATTATTACGGTAATTCAGTCATTATTCCACTTTCAAGTGTGATACAGATAAATCCAAATAAAATAAAACTGTACATAGTCGCTAAAAAGTAATCGAATTGGTAAAATTTCCATTGAACACAATCTAAATTATAACCTGCAGAGTTACTATTTTTGTACCTGGAAAACCATAAATGAATCATATTACAACATTATGATCTAACTATAACATAAGTGTTTCCCAATAATAACTAATATAAAACACTCATACCAATAATTATCTGGTTATTCTGCTATACAATCATGTAATATTAATATCCGAAAATGCATTAAAAAATTCTTAGTTTAATTTAGGGGCTTCAATGTCATACAATGACAATAACATTTTTCATTCTATAAATTTTCTTTGTCTGAAATATGGAAACCTTAAGAATACTATATAATTTATTATTGTATACCTACCTGGTTTTATCTAGCAGCAAATTAATGTTACTAAGATATTGGAAGTAGTACTAGTAGTAATGTAATAAACCTTGACTAACTTGGAAGATGCTTATAAACTGCAAAAACAGACAGAGGACAAGATAGCAAAGCTGGCCAAATTAATGCCAAACAACAACTGGTCCAAATAGTAAAAAAAGAGCAGTACTTTGTAGTGTAATTAACACTACATATTATACTTTATAGAGCTCTCATGTGGATATTGGCAGTTAAGAAGGAAAAATATAGACAGTTGCTTGAGAGGGCACAACGAAAAGGTCTATTGAGAATAGAAGGGGGAGTTTAATATTTAACAGGCCAGGGCATGATAATCCAGAATTTATAAATCACTACCAAGAAACTGACGAATAGCACAACGAAAAGTACCTTTTGCTCAGGAGTACTGTGACAGTCACAGCCTTTGCTCGCTTTACTGAAAAAGTAAGGACGCAATTGTCAGATTGTCAATTAATATATGGGAATTACACATGCAATGAATCTTAAAAGTTCATTAAATTTGTACTTATACGCACTATACTATAAATGGAACTTTTAAATTATCTCAAAACACCTTAAAGAAATAATTTATGAGTGATCTCATAATTTGTTAGCAATCAGAAATAGATATATTTATTAAAAAAATGTCTATGGTAGACAAAACCTTATTACAAAAGATCAGCTCATGTTCGATTGAATAAGTTTGTTTTGCATTTGTTTAATCATTGTAGATATGGAAATTAAACATAATGAACTTTGAATACAAGTCAATTTATGTAGAAAATTCTAAATTGCTATTTCAAAATATAAACATGATTTAATATTGACCTTAACGGATGTTGTTAGTATATCGAATTAAAGTAAACAATTTTGTATGCTAGAATATACACGAATTTTTATACAAAAAGGACTCGTCTTAGGGTGCTCTATTTGTTCAGGACTCTGTAAATCATCAGTACAATACAAATTGCAAGATTTGTCCATTGACTGCCTCTTCTTCTAAGTCTTCACTCATCCAGTTATTCTATATTTCTCTCTTTCCACTATCTGTCCATTCCCTTCAAGATTCCACCACTCATCCTTTCCTCTTTTTTGCTTCTCTGGCTTTAATAACGGTTTTGTCAAGCTTTAGTGTTATTGAATGGGAAAATCTTTTTTCCTTGTTTTGACAAAAAATTATTTGTTCTAGGTTTTGATAACTTGTTCAGTGTAAAGTTTCGGGTGTCAATCGAAAAAAAATTGGGTGAAAATTGAAAAATTTTAGATCCATAATTCTAGAGCCAACAAAAAGTATCTGCATTTGAAAAACTTAAGATGTAAGCATATGTATATGCTATTCTCAAAAAATATGTAGTTGTTATTTATGTTTTTACGATATATAATATTAGCACAAAAACAATGTTATTTACAATCCTTTACTTTATCAATAATTGGTACTTAAATCAATTCATTCACTTCTAAATATAAAATCAACTCTGTTTTTCAACCAGAATATTTTTGGTAGTAAACTCACATAAAAGAGAAAGAGTTATAAATTATATAAATTGTTATTTTAAATATATCTTTGGATGCTGCACAACTTTTGACATTACAGGTCTAATGTGGCATTAATATATCGTTAGCTCAAAGAACAAGGAATTACCCTAAGCACAGTTATCAACAACATATTCTTTTGACAATATAAGGTTGAATGTTCGAATAATTAAACTTTGATAGTATACAAGGCAACTATCGAACACGGTGATTAATTAAATCTTGCCCAAGTACTTTCAATCAATAGATCATCCTCAGGGGCATTTCGTCAGTTGTGGCCTATCTGACATGAGTAGAATGTCATACATGTAAATTTGGACATAACAATACAATACACAAAGACAAACAAACACTTTAAAATTTTTAAAAAGGAGAAGCTACATGTTATATAGAAGCCGGAGCCTTTTACAAAAAGGGTAAGGGCTGCAGTCACTTATGAAACAGTTGAAGAGTATTTTCGTCATCTTGGAGAGTCTTCAAAAGGGGTTGCACTGTCAAAAAAACTTCACGGATGATCCAGGAGCTGTAAAAGTCGTGGTGAGAAAAGGATTAAAACACGCTCATCGAGTGATGCGACACATCGAAAACGAGCACTAGCGTTATGTTTTCAGTTGCTGCTGATGGAACACTGTTGCCGCTTTATATAAGTCAAAGCATATGTACGAAGGATGGGCTGATGGAGGCTTTCCTGGTGCACAATATAATAGCATGATCAATAGTTGGTTTAACAGCACAACTTTTGAAGACTGGTTTCTATCGATAGCATTGCCCTACTTCAGAAACTTAGAAGGACCTAAAGTAATGATAGGGGATAATTTATTCAATCATCTTAAAGTAAATGTTATCGAGCAATGTGAAAATAATGGTATAAAGTTTATATTTTTACCTTCAAACTCCACAGATTTATTACAATCACTTGACATTGCCTGTTTTCGACCTTTAAAGAATGCTTGGAGGAAAGTGCTCACAATTTGGAAAATCAAAAACAGAGGTGTCCTGCCCAAAACTGTTTTTCCAAGACTGTTAAAAGAAACAATAGAAAAAGTGGGTCTGGAATCAAGCTCAATCACCCAAGTAGGCTTTAAAGCTTGTGGCATAGTGCCTTTAAATCCAAATCAAGTGCTCAAAAAAATACAACATTTGAAAAAAGGAGAAAAAGAAAATAGCGAACAGGAAGAGACTAGAGTGGAACAACTATGGACCAATACGACCATTGTCGATCATTTGAAGAACTAAGAACAGGTTCAAGTGAAAATCCAAAGAGAGGTAAAAGGATGAAGGTGGCAGCAGGAAAAAGTATTTCTAAGAAAGACCTTGTACAAGAAAGTGAAGGTTCTGAAAGTTAGCAAGGGTTAGAAGTACAAGATCTAAGTTTTTCAGAGTTGGAAAATGACGAGGAAATTTCATAGGACACATCCCATGAGTCTGATGATACACATTTCTAGCTTGGAGAATTTGTTGTCGTTAAATTTGTTACGAACAAAAGAGATCGATTTTTTGCTGCTAAAATTACAGATATTTCTGACGAGGAGATCACACTTCAATGCTTGAGAAAAAAGTCATCAAAAGAACAAATTTGCTTTGCTTACCCAGAAATCGAGGATATCGCCATAGTTCAGAAAGAACAGATTATACAAAGAATACAAGCAATTCCTCTCAGAAGAGGAACATTTAATTTCAGGGGGATTTCCTTAGAATAAGTTAGAAAGTACCAAATTACCAATGTACCACCAAAGAACCAACATCTTCCTTTTGTTTTTTAGAAATAAGTGTTTTCTTTTATGTTTTAATCTTTTTCAATGTTTTAAACCCAAATTTGTATTTATTTTTGAAATAAAGTTCTTTAGTAAACAAATCTTGTGTTGATTTTTACAATTTATTGCATAAAAAATAGTTTAAATTTTTTTTTGTGTGATCGGTTTTACCCTAAAGCTTGCTTAAAAGCAACATAAATGTAAATCAAACCCGATTGGTTTTACCCCAACCTATGTAGTAAAACCAATCACCTTTTGAAAATATATGAGAAAAAACTATTGGGATGATTTCAAAAGAAAAACCACTAATTGGCACTTCAGATATGACACTTTAACATATATATAATTTGCAGCTTTCTCAATTCAAAAATAATCATGAAAACATGAAAAAAACCTCAAATTTTGGTTGGTTTTACCCTGTTCTACGGTACCATACAAATTATTTAAACAAGTGCCAGTAGGAAAAAGAACAAGCATAAAGCGGAGTTTACATTGGTATAGTAAACGGGTTAGTTGCTTGTACCAGTAGCTTGTAAGGCAACAACTAACCCAATGTCAACCTACCGGGTAAGTACTTGTACAAGTGCTTGTACCAGTAGCGAGGACAGGTAAGTAAATAGCTAGCCCATCTATTTACTTGCCTACTGTCCTTCCCCTTCCACCACATTTTCGCCTCGACGCAAGTAGCATTGCAAGTGGTTTGGTAACTAGTCGAGTGTAGACGGGTGTGCAAGTGTCCTGGCAAATAGCGTTCTAAGAGCAGGGTCGCGGTTTTCTATTTCGATATTGTTTTTTAATTTTACTGATAAAATTGAAATAATGAAGTGGTCCGAGGGAGAAACTGTTAAATTTGTCGAACTTTATCGGGAATACGAATGTCTCTGGACCGTTACCAAACAAAGTTATAGAAATAATCGAATGAGGTCGGCAGCTTTAGTACAATTAGTTCAACACATGGGCGTTGAGGGATTTACTGTTGCCGAAATTGCGTCTCAATCGATATTGATGTTTTTGGAACTCGAAAAAAATGTTGAAGAGTTATATAGCTATTTTCTGTTGCCAAAAAATTGAGGGTAACTTCTAATTTAATGTGCGCTGGTAAGGCGTCTCTTAAAAGAATGTCACTTCTTTGAATTCTAGGCACAACCATATTTAGCAAGTATTTGAATTTACTCATTGTCAACCGAAGGCATAATTTATATTCTTCAGGATCTTTCATACGAAGTTCTTTTAAAAGAAGAGTGGATGCCCCTCTTGTACTTCTTCTATCAATCCACCTTCGAACCCATATCCTTTTTGCACGACATTTTTCTTCTTCAATAAAATTAACAGCATCTTTAATTAAAATTCTCGATATTCGTAATATGCGAATTTTTTTAATGCGATTTTTAATTATTAATTTTGAATTATTGCACAAAGCACGGCGCCGGCAATGGAAAGGTTTCATCTTTACGCATCTGGTGCTCGTCGGGAACTGGTAAATAAATAATCTTTATGTGTAAACACTTACTAGCATGTCAACTTGCGTATGTGAACTGTCCTGGATATACTTGTACAAGTAACTGGTGCAAGTAACTATTCCAATGTAAACTCCGCTTAAGACATAAGGCTGAGATATATAGAAAAAATACAAAATGATATAACCTTAAAAATAAAAGACTGGAGATAAAAAGTACAAAATGAGTTTAAAAAAAGATTATTATACAAATTCTGGGAAATGTATACATTTATAACATTACTTAGTTATTTAAAGATGTGATTTTCATTGCAACCAATAATAATTGTAGCTTACTTAATCCCATATTAACATAATATTTATCTTAACAATGTACACTTTTTTTCATTATACCTTTATATCAAATAAAAAAAATGTAACTTTACCTTTATTGCAAAGTATAGACTGTTCGAGTCATATTTTTCAACTTTATCTATCATATTTTGTAATCAACTGATCAAATATTTATCTAGCTAGTACCTACCTTAACATTCATGAAGTCATAGTCTGGAAATGCAGAGTTTAGTGTTGCTATTAGGTAAAACAGTGTTTTGCGGCTAATAGTATCACATAAAGGGCCTTCTTCATCCCCGGAAACACTTCTGCTGTATTGGGAATGGCCTGGGGAGACTCCTTGTGGTGGTGAAAGTGCTTGTAGATCACTGGGATTGACACCTTCAGCATTGAATCTCTTATAGAGGGCTTTGTCTGTACCTGCCATTTTGCATGAATAACTTTCGATACGACCAATGATTTTACTGTCGCCTGTTTGTATACATAGGGCATTGTTGATGGCTTCAAATCTTGTACTCTCGAGCAACTTCATCTTTGCTGATATATTATAAGTAGCAAGGAACTCAAACGATTATAAAACACTTTTACAATGATTTATTGTCTAAACGGTATGCAAGCACTACTATTAAATAAACAGTTTTTAAACATTGCTGTGGGATGTATGAATATTCCTTTTCTTTTTGAATGAAGGAGACTAACCGTCGGCACAAAGGTACGCCTTACAGATATCTTGCTCAATAAGTAATTTGGGCACATTACAAACAGTTTAAACCAAATGATAACCACTTTGCAAGTAGTTTGAGTGTTTTAGTTCAGATTTTTGGAATACAAACAAATTTTACACAAAGCTGATATAGGACGAGTCCACTATTTTCACCTTCCTTCGAGAACACACACAAATTATATCACTTTTAGCTAGTGTTCAGAAAAATCGCAGTCCCTAATCATTTTCACACTAAGATAGCACAACAAACTTGGAAAAAATTTATAATGAATGCTGAAATACTAAAAATAGACGGTCAACAATAGCTCTTTTAGCTTGGCTGCAGTACAAAGAAACAAACAACTTCAAATATGAATTGACATTTACTGACACTGACAGAAATAGCCACGCGACGTTGTCGCATCGTTACCGTTACAAATCTTTTTTACAAGAACTTTTTTACTTTAATTTTTATTTATGAATTACACGAGTAAAAGTTTATTTTTAAATATATCGTTTTACTTTATTTCATATTTTATATTACACACAAAATGATTATACAACGATTCGTGGATATTTTATTTCTTCTATTCAAATGGTTTCTTTAAAGAATCATTAAATTTAGAACGTTGGCAATGCAGCTTATGTTCCGAATAAATACATGCGTCTATTTCTTTGTAAATACGCTTAGATAAGATATCCCGTCATACTTACGTCTCTGTTCTTAACATTTTTTTCTCGTATAAATGTGTGAGAGAGAGCTTCGTGTATAATCCCTTGTTTCCTGGCACGGTTGCGCAAACGACGCAAGGAGAAACCTTGAAATTTGTTTTTAAACAAAAAGTAAAAACACACACTCTTCAGTTATTTTCGTCCATATGATTTTTTCTATTTATATAATTAGTAACAGTTGTAATTATATAAGCGAAACGACTTTCAGGTGTATTAAATACAGTATTAATTAACTTATAATGATGTTTTTTTGACACAAAAGTGGTTTTGATAGGTATTCGTTCACGAAATAGTAATTACCTATCTCCCTGCGTTTTTGTTGTCCAGGAGAAAATGATGCTAATAATTTTTTGGATTATATTGACTATTTTTGCATGGTTAAAAATTTTGTCTTTTAACCACAAATCTGATAGTTTTTACTTATTGTGTTGTTTATGCCCAATATTTCAAAGGATCCTCTACATTTAATGAGCATGAACTACCACTACTACGAGGGTTTTACCAAAGTACTATTAACACTTTCCGCCCCGGGTGGCATCAATATGATGCCTCACTAAATAGTACTCTTTGCACAGTGAGGCATCACCCTAATGCCACACTACAGTTTTGTATTCGGGGCACCGTGGCATCAACCGTGCCACCACAGCTATATAAATTACATTGTAAGTTAGACAGGGTGGTTCAAGGATCAAAATAATATTTCCTGATCGGATGTGAGACGGTTTTTACGAAAGATATGGAAATTATAAAACTTTATGAAAAAAATAAAAGATTTTATTCAGACTGTGCAAAAGTAATTATAATAATATTACACCTTATTATTTTAAAACAGCATTATGTGTTGAGAAAAAAAAAAAACAAGAAAAATAATGTTTTTTGCATTGGTTGTGTCAGAGACACACACTATTATTTATGGCTTAAGTCGAGTATTATTGCTTATTAAGCATAAGACGCACTCAAAAGATGTTTATTCTAAATATTAGGGCGATGTGGTTTTTATGTTTATATCTCACGTCGAGAATGTGTGATTAAATTTAACGACTTCCCGCTTTGATTATATTTTTATTTCGGAGAAGCCCTGCCATGTTTATATTAATTTAAAAGATTGTAAAATCAGTACCTTTGTGAACTTACCACCGATATATGCTTTAGAATTATTTCATTTTAAAACTGCCTGTAATTTTTGAATAGAAGTTATTGTTGATAATTTTGGACTTTTATTCCATTGAACGATATTGATGTAGAACGGGTAGATTTACATTGATACAACCAACAGGTTGCACAAAAATTTAGAACGAGAACACTTGTTTTGAGCTTCTTTCCGCCCCAATTCATTCTTCATTCTGACGTAGCAAACGACACATCTGTTTTTTCTTCCTTCTACAAGCTCATGACTGACATCGGTGTTATCGTTGATATTAGTTTCAATAGCGGACATTTCACCCAGTAGTTCTATAGCTACTTCTGTTTTGAACTCTGTTATAGTCAATTTAGTTTGTGTAACCTGTGTATATACAATATGAGCATTCACCAAGGCACTACCAAACAAGAATTCTGTGCCTAATTTCCTGTACCATTTATTCCCTCGTCTCAAGCAATGTGAATTCGCTTTTTTCTGATCTGAGAGATCAATAAAGGATTTTGAATCATTGTAATCAACAATCATTTGTTGCTTTTCAATTTATTTGCCTTTGTGTAGACGTTTTAACATTTCATCTCCATGTTTTGTACTAATCATCAAGACATCCCTTTTGTCACACCATTTTAACATTACAACTCCGAAATTACTTTGTAGGGCAATTTTTTCATTTTTTTTTTAGTTTTTTCTTGACAACCCCCTGACGTGCCTACAAGGTGAGTTGTACGGCTGAGCAGTGTATGAGCAAGGGTGACGCTCGTATAATAATTATCTGTGAAGAGAGTACGACCACTATCTAATAACCCTTCCATAAGTGCTAGATATAGAGATGATAGATAAAGAGGCATTTTGACCACCCTGACTACCTTTTCTACAGTAAATTTTGAGGTCATAAGTGTAGCCGTTTTCTAAGCAAAGCTTATATAATTTGATACCAAATTTGTGTTTTTTTATTTTTGATATATTGCTTGAATTTCAAGCGACCACGATAAGGTACCATCGTCTCGTCAATACAGACATTTTCTCCTGGAGTAACAATTTGCTGAAATCTAGAAATAAGTTTTTGAACCAACGGAAATATTTTGTGAAGACGATCAAAATCCGGTGAGTTTGGTTGTGGCGCTGTTTCATTATTGTTGAAGTGAATATTTGAAAGTAATTGCTCAAAACGATTTCTAGGCATTTTGTGTCTTATATTGGTAACAAATAAGTAATTTCTGCTCCAATAGTCGCGTAATCGTGGAGCTTTTATCAATCCCATCCATATAGTTACCCCAAAGAATGTTTCCATTTCTTTTCTTTTAGTTGGTATCCAACGTTTACATTTAGATTTGGCTACAACGGGTCGGCCATTTATCTGTTGATCTGCGTATAAATTCGTTTGATCAACTATATAATCGATCAAGTCATCAGTCACAAATAGTTTGTAAAAGAAATAAGGAGTTTCTGTAAAATTGGTGAAATATTCCGCATTCTGAATAGTTTGCGGAAAATGTTTCACCTTGGAAGTGTCAACTTTGCTCCATAATAAATCTGAACTCTCCCCTTCATCTTCTTCTGCGACAACAACTAATACAGACATTACAGTTTCTATTGTCTGTTGTATCAGGTCATCCTAAACAGAAATTATGTATGACTTTCCAGAATGAACATAAAAGTTTAGTAAAACTTAACTCATTTTCAACGGCCCGTAACGCTATTTTTGGTATACCGTTAGGCCCTGGCACTGCAAGGTTGCCTTCATTCGGTAATTCACTGATGCCATGTAATTTTCTCAGTTTCCAAGGAATTTCTTCGGAAGAGTCCGAGGTTTCTGTGCCACTGGGTATATAATCATCTGATGATCCAAAATTTGCATAAGGGTCGTCCACTCCTATGTCTTCATCTGACATAAGTCTGTTTTGTTCTTTTTTGTAGGAATCGATCGAAAAAATTCGTGTAATCTAATATTTTATAGTACACTCATACTATAACCGCACGCAAAGAGCAGCGAACAAAGAATACTTCCGTCGCTTCATACAAGAATGAATACGTTTGAGGCATCACGTAAATGCCACGCTGTCCAGACAAACAAATTTATAGTTCCCGGTCAGCGAGGCATCAATGTGATGCCTCAAAAATGTTGTGCAATAACTCGATTATCAAATCGACTGGTCCAACGAAGACTGTAGTAACTCAAATTTTCCACTTTTTGAGTTACGAGCGCAAAACAATAAAACCTAATAATATCTTCCCCAGGCAAGAATCGTATCTCAGTAAACGTAGTTATGCAACCAATATTACGGGTAAGAGTTTTATAGTATCTCCGATTTATGAAAAAGAACCGTAGAAAATCATCGTATCTTGAGTTACAATAGTCTTCGTTGTTATCTGAGGCGATAGCATAGGTATCGTAACATGAGTTACTACAGTATTCTGCGTTAGCTTAAGGTGATGTTCAAAAGTTTAGTTTTGTTATAATTGCCATAATGTGTTCCAGAAGTGAGTTAATATTGGAATTAGCTGAGAAAGCGAAAAAAAAAAACACTGAAACAGATATTTCTTATCGTTCTTTTGAAGGTAAATTTATAATAAACTTTATTTAAAATAATAATAGCAAAATAAAAACCTACTTATTTTTTAAGGTAAACATATTGCTGAAAGTATTGTAGAAGAAAGCAAATACAAAAAGGCGAATGAGGATCCTGGTGACCACGAGACTGATATTAATCCTGAATGTTCTACAGGTTGGTTTAAATTCCGCATGAAAAAATATTACGTAGGCATTTACCTCATTTTTGTTTAATTGTAGTAAGATTAGAAGAGAATGAAGCCAATAGGAATGAAAATGAAATAATGGAGAAGGAAAGCGATGAGGACCCATTTCATGCAGACTCTGATACTGACCCAGATTACATTCCGACAGAAGACAAAAATATCCCTGAAGTAATAATTGAACCTAATAAGAATATAACTGAAGCAACCACAAATAGAAAGAGAAGAAGCAGAGGCAATATAGAGAGAGTAAGTAGGAAAAGAATTAGAGACGTTAGTAAGTGGGCGGATGAAAAATCTAAAACAAGTCTAAACCTGGGACTTGAACATGAAAATCGAAAAGGTATTCAAATTAAAGGAAGACAGATGGGTGTACCATGCGCAAACACATGACTAAAATGTGCTACCAAAATAGCTAAAGAAGATAGAGACCTTTTCTTCAATGAATTTTGGAAGTTAAAAGATCATACGAGAAAGTGGGATTTTATTGCTCGTCATGTGAGACAGGTTGCCAAAAAACAAGTAACTATTATTGCAGAACAACGGTCTCGAAGATATTACTCTCGAGAATATTACTTCTACATTCGCAATGAAAAACAACGTGTTTGCAAAACTTTGTTTTTGGAAACCCTTAACGTTTCAAAAACTTGGATCACTACAGCATTAAGGAAACTGAAAGATGGTAGATCATTAGAGGAAGATAAACGTCGAAAGCACACTAACAGACCACATAAACCATCACCAGAACT